CTCCATATAGTCTGGTATTGTAGAAATAGCCAGAGTTTTTGGCATTCTCTTTTTAAAGCTATGGCGGACTTTACGGGTATTTTGACCAAGCCCTCCCCCCAATTGGCACTCTTGAGCATTGGTATTGAGAACTACCCATTAGAATATAGATACCCTGTTACTCGCTTGTTACTAGCGGCTAGAAGACTCATAGCAAATCATTGGAAGTTGGACTATGCCCCGTCTTTTAAAAGATGTTCTTAACCAAGTAACCTTAACTTGTGTTTTTGAAAGGTTGATTGCATATAGATTCCAATCCTAGAAAACGTTCCACTCTAATTGGGATGCGTGGCTGAAATTTGACTGCAATTCTAAGATTACAGTTGCACCTCGGTTCACAAACTTAATTTGTTCCACGATTCTGGTCGCGAACCGAAATAAACTGATCAGACCGCTATCTCGACTAGAGGAAGCCATGAACATGTGTCAGAGCAGGGAAGATGGCTGCAGTTGTGTTCGTCACCCGATGTGGAGTTTGCGAACGGAAGCAAAATGTTGCCGTACTTCCTGTTAGCGAACCGAATTGTTTGCTAAACTGAAGCGTTTGTGAATCGAGGTACCACTGTATTTTGTAATGCTTCCATAGGGTTTTTCCTCCTCGATTTCTGTAGCCTATCGTCTACTTTTCAATTGACCAATCCTATTCCTCCTTCTCTTGTCGATTCCGGTTTCCCTATTTCTCTAGCCATTTTTTCAATATGTTTCCCTTACAGTGAAAGGTACTGACTTATTTGAATATTGTATTGTAGAATTCTTTCTGGTTATGTACGGAGTTTTGGGACTTTGTTACATAGTATTTGAGGTTGAATAAAGACATAAGTCCATCAAGTCCAACCTATCGCGTGTATGCATTTGTTTGAGTTGGTGTGTGCGTGTGTATGAGTCCATGTGTGATTTTGCTCTTAGTAGTACCTGTACCCCTGTATGTTACGGTCTCCAAGGAAATCGTCTTAAAGTTTCTTGAATGATTCCACACTCTTGGCTGAAATCACTGCCTGTGGCAGCGAGTTCCAGACCTTAACCGCTCTTACTGAGAAGAGCCCCTTGCGCCGAAATTTTTTTTCTCCACCAATTTCAGGTGGTGGCCTCTAGTCTTTGTTATGTGGTTAACCGTAAAGAGTTTGTTAATGTTGCTACCACCATTGAACATTTTATAAAAGAAAATCATGTCCCCCCTTAATCTTCTTACTTCCGAGGCGAACATATTTAATTTTAACAGCCTTGTTTCATAGTTCAGGTCCTCCATCCCCTTAATGAGTTGGTTGCCCTCTGCTGGACTTTCTCCAGCTGTTATCGTCACTCTTGTTCTCTTTTCTATACTATTTATGCTGTGTTAATCATTACCCAGCGTGGCTTTCCTTTATGATGTTCTATTCTATGTAATATGGTGCCTCACAATTGTTTACACTGTGATGTTTGTATTGTTTCCTGTAAAAAAAATTATTGTTTATCTATTGCAAAAAAAGTGAGCGAGGAATCCTCTCAGCCATCCCGTGTTGCCGTTCAGCAGAATGGAAGGAAGGAAGGATCTGAGAAGGCTGCGGGGTATTACTGCCTATGTGAAATAATTCTTCATTTTGGCATTGATAAATGAGGCACAATGTCATCTGTCAGTCCACAAGACCTAAACAATAAGCAGGTGTGACTCCAAAGGCATTCTGTACACCTCAACCGTATTGGCTTGTTAATATCTTGACGTGCTGGTGCAAGTTCATTGATCATAGACAATTATGTCAAAAACTAGTTGTTCAGTTAACAGATATTTTTCCAAAGATGAGTTTTTTGTTTTTCCTTCAAACACATTTTCCTGTAAATAACCCAGTGACGTCGTCAAGGCAGTTGTCCCATGGTAGTAATATTTGTGGACTACAGAGCACTGGTGATTATATTGATCTCTTCTGAGATCCGAGGTCAGCACAACTTACGTTCAATACCATAACTAACGCTCGCATGAATGACAAGGATGATTTGAAGTGAAAAACAATCGTTAATAAGAACATTTTGATTCCACTGAAACCCATTTAGTCTCTTCCAAACAAGGTATAAGACACAGCTCTATACATGACCTGAAGAAAGAAAAAAAAGTATGCGTTTCCTAAGAAGACACTCTGAACACAACATACAATCCACACACTACATTCTATTTCAAACCCGCCATTACAAAGCTGAACACGTTTTCTCTTTTAGGTCAATAGCCTGGCTATGTGCCATACAAGAAGCTATTGTATTTACCTGTGTCTCCGCTGGGCCTGAAGATGCAGACAGAAACTGTTCTACTAACAGCTAGATCACAGCGCCTGCACGTAAGCCATATTGTGATCACCTCTATTGATCTCTTTCCCTGGACAATACATCAGTCTTATGCACACAGTGCTCCATCAAGGATATATCTCAATTACTAACGTCAAAAACATTGCTGCTGCTAAACACTATACGTGTCACCCAGCTCTTCTGTGTGTGTGTGGGGGGGCGGGGGCGGCTTTCTGCTTTTTAAAATCTCTATAAAGTCTGTGTGTGTATATGTGTGTGTGTATATGTGTATATATATATTATATATATAAAAAATCCAAAGTAGGTATAGAGGCACTCTGGTCTAGCAGCGGAGATAGGTCAAAGCGTCAGCATTTTATTGGCAATGTTTCAATGGAGTTCAATCTAGAGGTGCACCGAAATGGAATTTTTAAAACCGAAACCGGTAACAAATTGTTGAGTGCGTTTGTCTTGCTTGACTGATTTGGTGCAGCGACGCATGGGGTTTCTCAGCTGCCAATAGGATGTGCGGGATCCCTTGTGTGTTTCCCTTATATGTGTTTCCTCCTGACAAACCTGCACCCAATTTGATATCTTCTGCCCCCATGTGCTCCAAGATGGAGACTCTCATAGTTTAGAGTTAGGACCGCACTATAAGAGGTGCCTTGGCGCGGCAGTGTGGCTTACACATCCTCAGCTGAAGACGTGTATCCAAACCTCTGTCATTGTCCTTAGCGGTGAGACATGTTGTTTTACATGCTGGTTTTGTGTGTGTGCCATGATGCCTTTCTGCTGGCTTGCTTTTCTCTCTGACACGCTGTCACAGGAGGCTGATCGAGCCGTGTAGAGAGGAAAGCCCAGCCTCCGGTGACAGCGATGTCTCCGCCCTCACACCGCTCTGCCGGACTGTGATAGGCGGCTGAGCGGTGTGGGAGGAGAGATGCCGCAGCTCACAGCGCTCTCGTCCTGACTCCTGCAGCGCTCGGCGGCTGTCACTTTCTTTTCTCCCCGCTGGAACAGCGCCCAGCAGGGAGCAAAGAAACTAGGGATGACCCGATGTATCGGCCGAAACATGGCTCTTTCGGCATTATGCCAAAAGTGCCATTTTCGGCCGATATATCGGGTCATCCCTAGTTCAATCCATATAGCACAGCAGGACAAAGGTGGCAATCAGAGACTCTCATATCTGCTGACACAATAGGTTTCCCGTCTCATGAGTTACCTTACCTCAATGAAGGATATCAGCGCCTTCTCTCAGGCTCTATGTACATACAACTGCAGATAATGTCAGTTGTACGCCAAACCAATAAATGCCCAAAAGTTCCTGGGTGCTGTAATGCATTATTGGGATGTGGTGGGATGGAACCCTCCGCTATGGAAGCTTGTAGAGATTTCCACCAGCACACCTTTCACCAGTTGGAGATATTCTCTTCTCTGATGTCTGACAAGGATGTGCTGGTGGAAATCTCTACAGGCATCCATGTACTTACCAGACAAAAGTCTTTTGGCATTTTTCTTGATTGCTTATGCCAAACATGGTTATTTATTCTGACATACAGGTATACAACCTACAAATAAAGCTTCAAGCTTATAACTTAGATTAATGCATGTACAATATATACATTTTCCTTTTAAAAAGGAGAACTATGGGGCAAAGGTTTTTTTTTTCCATAGTTCTCCTTAGGGTCACAGGAGGTCATATACTGTGTCCTCCGGTGAACCAAAACTCAGCATATTGCCCAATATATGCTAAGTGCCGCAGTCACGGATCCCGACAATACTGTTGAGCTCCACCCAGCTGGCTGATTGACAGTGGAATAGGCAGAGCCAGCTGTGCCCAGCTCCTCCCCCATCTGTTCCGCCAGTCAGCGCTGGAGGATTGGAGAGGGGGAATCCTCTCGCTCTACCCATGATGGAGTACAATCTCAATACAAATGAGTAAACTGAACACGGGAATGAGCTGGGAGCGGTGGCTACTTTACAACACACTCAGGCACCATGGGGAACAAAAGTAGCCACCCTCCAGAAGGAAGGACAGTATCAGCACCAATTGAGAGATGATTTGAGGATCTACAGCCGAGTGATACACAAATAAGAGACATTTATGTTAATAGTTAGGGTACTTGAATGTATTTTTAAGATTTAACTCCTGAGTTTGTGTCACTTGCAGGAAAACCTCCCTAACAGAACACAGAAGGGAACACCCCAAACAAACAGGTTATAACCTTTCTATCCAAATTGTTTTTGGGTTTTTTAATGGCTTCAGTTCTTTAAAAATGATTCAAACCTCCCCTACACTTCTAACATGCATGTCCTAGTACAGTAAGAATTTCTGCACTTTCTATATGAATTATTATTTCCATAGTACTGCAGCAGTCAATTCTTTTTTTTCTTGATAACTGGTTCTCAGAAAACAACCTCCATTGTGCTGATTTATCAAGGACTTGAGAATCTCCATATAATACATTGTGAATAATCAGGTCAATCATTAAATCATGTGCAGGTAAAACAAGTAAACATGAATTTGCCTTTCACATGATTGACAGTGGATAAATAAAGTAGATACGCACACACTTTATTGTGTGAAGATTTTCAACTCCTTTAGTAAAACAGTCTATTTGTGTTCAATTCATTCTTCAAATATTCTGTACATAACAAGAAACGCTGAGGCCTGGTAGCCGCCTAAACAAAGACGCCAGTGAGACCGGTGAAAGGTTAAAAATCTTCAAAGTCACCTTTTAATAGTGATTACAAAATCATAATTCCCTGATTTTCTGATATGACAAGTTCTGATCTAAATATCAGATGTTTACATACTTGTGCTTACTTGTAACAATGCACAGGGAAGATTATTGGAAGGATTGCGGTGTATTGACTAATGACAGCATCACAAATTGATTGGAGGAAACGTATTCGGACATAAATACATACAAACAGCATTCTTGTGATAAACACACACAAGTATTCCCCTTTCAGTCATCGTTCATATATCTGTTTCCAGGGAGAGGCCGGATCTGTCTTTGGGTCTTAGAAAAGTGAGCACTTCTGAAATAAAGGTCTGGACTTGTGACTGTGGTCACATGGTGTCTTGTACTCCATAGCGAGCAGCAGCTGGATGCAGTGTGCTTGCTGACATGTTTATGGATGTATCATGGAAGGCATCTTGGAGCGATTATGTAAGGAGCTGGCGGATCTCTTTGTGAACAAGGCAGAGGAAATCCATATATGAAGCTCCCCCAAGTAGCCCTTTATCTTCCACCAGCAGCTGTCTGAAAGCCATCTCTGCCTTATCCTTCTGCTTCACCAAGACAAGCTGAAATATGCCAAATAAAGAGAGCCATATAATTCTACACAGACTGTATTAGCTGAGAGCACCGGTCACAGCATCACACAAGAAAATGTTAGTCATCTTCCATGCACCCGTGAAAATGTCACGTAGGGCTCATTTTATAAACAAGGGCTCAGCGAATATCTGTGAAAGTTCATTTTGTACATATAATGGCAAAAGAGAACATTCTTCATATATTTCCACTTCAGGTTGAATGTCTTGTGATATAATAATGCACAATGGCCACTAGATGGAGATGAGGAACATAGGTAATAAGTAGGGATGCACCAATACTAGTATCGCTATCGGTGCTGATACCGAGTACTTGGGCAAGTACTCGCCCAAATGCTCCCATACCTTCCCCGGTACCCGAAACTTCCGGTCAGAGGAAGATTTACTCTGACCGGCAGTGCCGCAGGGGAACATGGAGCCGGTTTCCCGGGCAATCAAGAAGACGGGCAGCGAGTAATGAGCCGCTTCCTGAATGGCCGGGAAGCCGGCCCGATGCGGATTGACTGGGAAGCCTGCATGCCGGCCAATCAGCATCGAGCAAACCGAACCGCAGACTCTGCTGATTGGCTGGAAAACCGGCTCCCCAGCCAGTCAGCATTGGGCTGGCTTCCCGGCCAATCAGGAGGCGGGTCATGACTTGTCATCCAGCTTTCTGATTGGCCAGGAAGCTGGCTTGATGCTGATTGGCTGGGAAGCCGGTTTCCCAGCCAATTACAATTGAGCCGGCCAAACAACATGGAGCTGGCTTCCTGGCCAATCAGGAAGTCGGCTCAATGCTGATTGGCTGGGAAGCAGTTTTTCCAGCCATACAACATAGAGCCGGCTTCCCGGGCAATCAGGAAGCCAGGCAGCATGTCATTACCCGTCGCCCGGCTTCCTGATTGCCCGGGAAGCCGGCTCCATGCCAGCGGAAGCACCGTTATTGGTACTCGGTATCGACGAGTACTGAAGGCAAGATATCGGTACTCGATACCGAAAAAACGGTATCAGTGCATCCCTAGTAATAAGCATTTATGTCCTATACTCCATAGCTCCATCTAGAGACCATAATGCAAAGTTATTGTTATTTATTACAGGTTTTTATATAGTGCTGATAAATGTACATAATGATGGACATCAGTCCCTGTCTTCAAGGAGCTTACAATCTAAGGGCCCTATCTTACATACATACAAGGGCCAATTTAGACAGGAGCTAATTGACCTTCCAGCATGCCTTTGGAGGGTGGGAGGAGCCATGCACCCCCCACCCATCTGGCTAGGGAATGCTATGACGTTTCCACATTGTATCACATTTCTAAATCTGAGTTGCAGTTTTTCCTTCCAGCAGCTAAACAAATGAGCACTTGTTATTTCTCTTAGTAACCATTTAGTAGAATGTCATACCTTCATTGAGTGTGAACTTTTACTCTGAATAAATTCCATGATTTCCCTTAATTTTTTGGAATGAGAATTGTCCAGTTGAGGAAGAGATGTCTGCAATTAAAATATCATATAATGCATAAAAACCTCAAACAAATTGTTGTCATATTTACAGTTATTTACAGTCACACTTGCAGTACCACAACGTTACTTCCACTTTCTGATAATAGTTTGCTCTTCGTTCTGCTGTTGCAATCATCACCTCCTCTATCTGTCCTGGTGACCAATGCCATCAGGACAAATGGTGTTAGGAAAAACAAAATGTTACAGTTGTCACTAGAGCAAGAGGTTAATGAAAATCTTCAAATGGTGACACCAGTTCCAGTAACAGCTGTCTAAAAGAAGACTTCCCTCACTTAGAAGAGATTTCATCTCACTTCCTGTTGGATTTAGATACACTGTAACTTAAACGTTTTTGTTGTTGAGAAGCGCCAAAGGCAATCCGTGTCCCTCACACTAAGGAGGAGTGCTGAGCATATATGCAAGATGCAGCCCCACAGCAGTCAAGGGAACTGGAACATCTAGAAAGAAACAAAGAGAGGGGCGCCTTTCCTAGTGCAGAATGTTTATTCAATATCATCAAAATCGTACAGACGCGTTTCCGGGGCACGTCCTGACGAAGGGGGCGTGCCCCGGAAACGCGTTGACACCACAGTGAGCCTCATACAGGACGCTTCACACGGACCCTTGCTCGGTTTCCGGTTTTTACTGTCCTGCTGCTCGTTTTCACACCCTTATTGTGAGTACCTGTCTGTACGATTTTGATGATATTGAATAAACATTCTGCACTAGGAAAGGCGCCCCTCTCTTTGTTTCTTTTTACACTGTAACTTAAAGTGACACTAAACTCAGGAGATAAATCTTAAAAATACATTGAAGTACTTTAACTATTAGGCTAAGTTCACACCAGATGCAGTGCGTTCCGGTCCGATTCTGGACAGAACGCACTGCATCGCATTGCGGCAGGCTCACTTTCTTGTGGGGCAGGAGGTGGCGTGGCGGGCCATCGAAGTGAATGGCACCGCTGCAAGCACTATTTTGATCGCACATTTTTGATAATAGCGTACTTGAAAATCCAAAAATCCTTAAATAGTGTTGGCTTTAGATACACTAGTAGTGAATAGTGCTCAGCTTGGGGATGGATCTAACCCTAAGATACTGTCTTAGAGCTGCTCCTGACCTTGAAAAATGACATTGTTGTTAATTTATTATTACTTTCTCCTTAACTAATCAATTTCTACAAAGGTGAACAGAAGAAAAAAAAATCTAAATGGGTTGTTACAACTTCCACTGCTGGTATTTGCCCGAGCCATTTGTGCTTGTTTATTGCTAGTTTACTATTACTATCAACACAGCTTAGCAATATACTCCATGCATCTGCAGCTTCATTTATAAAAAAGCAAACCGTTAGAGGAGTTGGAGGCCCCACCAAGTGGTTAAACATTCTGTAGGCCACACACAAGAAGATTATAGAGAAGTAAGATTCCTCTACACTACTAGACCCCGTATCTGCTGGTTAACCATGCACTGCACCCATTGCTATGCATGGGAAGTCTATAATCAGCCAACAGGAGGACAGAAACATTGTTGCACTATCACAATAAGCTAAATGGCATGAATGACTTACAGCTTCTGTTGTGATGTGTGCAAAGGAAGGCACATTAAATATCCCTTGGATGAATTCTGGTGGCGAACTGACACCGAGCCACAGGAACATGCTGATGCCATTGGCCAGAAGGAATATCCCTCCTTCAGACAAGCGCTCCTCAGAACATCGGACAGCTGAAGGAATGGCGTCACTCTTGACGTCCAACGTATGCTTAAGTTAAATTGACAACAACATTATTAGTTACTGCGTTGGGTCACTGTTACAATACAGACATTTATTTATTTGTATCCATATAGAGCCCAAAATGTACACATACTGCACGCTCACATCAGTACCTGCCCTCAAGGAGCTTACAATCTAAGGTCCCTATCTCAGCCAATTAACCTTCCAGCATGTCTTTGGAGTGTGGGAGGAACCCGGAGTAAACCCACACAAGCACAAGGAGGCCGTGCAAACTCCATGCAGATAGTGTCCTGACCAGGATACGAACCAGGGACCCCCAGTGCTGCAAGATAGAAGTGCACTGTGCTGCCCCACATACAAAATCACACTGAAAAGTCATTAACACCCTAATTAAAGGCTCACACCTTTTTATCTCTTTATAGCCTTGTGCTCCTGCTTGTTATGATGTGTGACTGAATTTGCTTGTCAGTTACTCTGTGAAAGTGCCGCTTCCTGCCTTCACCCTGCAGTGCTCTATGCTGACAGTGCTGAGTAACAGCCACATCATGTCCTCACACAGATTGATATTGCAGAGGAAGATAGGGGGCACTTCTGTTACTAAGTGCTGATTACAGAGAGCAGTGGGTCTTTTTTGGTGCCTATTGAACTGCACAGTCATATTTACACACACTGTAATATAAAACATGGAGAATGTTTGTACAAAGTCTGTCTGAGTGCATATCTCTTTCTGTGACTTCAACTGATTTGATATTGTTTCGACTGCATTTTTCACTCCTTTATATCTGCAGAGCTTGTTAAAGTCTCCATTGTGTACAATGACAGATATTCAACATTTCAATGTTTCTTCAATTGGGCTTAATTGATCTGAAATTGTTTTGACTGCATTGCTTGTTCTTTATATCTGTAGATATTGTTCAAGTCTCCATTGTGTACAGTGACAGATATTCAAACTTCGACTATGTCTTCACAGAACCTGTTTACAATTATCTAAAGCAGTCTGTGAAATGCTCTTATAGATTAACTTTTCATGGGTCTATAGTTTTCACATGGCAACCAGCAAAACGTGAGCACTTCTTGGCAGACGAAGTGCAGTCGTTACCTTCGCTTCACTGTGCTTCTAAAGTAGTGTCATCTACTATCATTTACACACATGTCCCTTGAATGCTATGCTTTCATCTTTATATATTTGTATAGGGATACGCTTCAGTTGTATGAAAATATGAAACAATGCATATTCATGGTTAATCTTTATATTAATGTGAGGTGAGAATGACATAGTTATTTTCCTAGCCATTGTTCATTGTCATCAGTAGAGCTGGTTAATATACTGCCGTCCTGTGGTCGTTTTGGGTATTGCACCATGTTTTCCTGTGTTCCCTCCTCTTGTGTGTGATGTACTTCCTTTCTTCTTACATTCTCATCATGGCATCAACATGGCTGCTTGTATTATGGCCACATGATATTATGCTCGCATGGGGGGAAACTAGGGTTGCCACCTGTCCAGGATTCACCCGGACAGTCCGGTTTTGAATGCTGTGTCCGGGTTTCATGGCAGCAGGAACCCGGACACAACGTCAGGCAGATAGGGGCAACCAAAATCAAGATAGGGGCTACTGGTCTCAACTGTGACATTTACATATGAATGGGCGGCACTATTTACATATGAACATGCTCATTCTCCCCAAAAAATATCCGCGCATTGCTAGAGTGTTCGGGTTTCGTTTAAAGAAAAGGTGGCAACCCTAGGGGAAACATTAGCATGTTTTGACCTGCAAATACTGTAATTTATATCACCTGCTGCATCCTGTTTTCTGCAGTAACTAACCTGCTGCAAGCAATAAATCAATTGTGGATGGACAAGGTATTTGGTGAGTTCAGCTATCTGATAAGGGTTGTCCGCGGTGATTATATCTGCCTATACAGGCCAGGCATAGAGGTCTCAGCAAGAGATACATCACTAATACAATGGTTGGAGTCAGAATAGAAGGACAAAGCTAAGATCAAGCCCTTCTAGTGTATTTGTGCTGCAGCGGCAGGGCCCTGCTTTGTCTGCTTGTACCTTGACAGTAAAATAAAATAAAATAGAAGGTAAAATCAATGTAAGCAGTTATATAAAATGTATGCTTGCAGGTACATCAGGCATGTACCTGCACTCATACATATTGCTTGCAGGTACATGCTTGATGTACCTGCAAGCTTTCAATTTCACCGAAGCAACTTATAGGGGAAGGCTTTACAGAAGTAACATATTGGTGAAGGCTTTACAGAAGTAACATATAGGGGAAGGCTTTACAGAAGTATCATGTTGGTGAAGGCTTTACAGACGTAACATATAGGAGAAGGCTTTACAGAAGTAACATATAGGGGAAGGCTTTACAGAAGTAACATACAGGGGAAGGCTTTACAGAAGTAACATATAGGGGAAGGCTTTACAGAAGTAACATATAGTGGAAGGCTTTACATAACATATAGGGGAAGGCTTTACAGACGTAACGTATAGGAGAAGGCTTTACAGAAGTAACATATAGGGGAAGCCTTTACAGAAGTAACATATAGGGGAAGGCTTTACAGAAGTAGCATACAGGGGAAGGCTTTACAGAAGTAACATATAGGGGAAGGCTTTACAGAAGTAACATATAGTGGAAGGCTTTACATAACATATAGGGGAAGGCTTTACAGACGTAACATATAGGAGAAGGCTTTACAGAAGTAACATATAGGGGAAGCCTTTACAGAAGTAACATATAGGGGAAGGCTTTACAGAAGTAGCATACAGGGGAAGGCTTTACAGAAGTAACATATAGGGGAAGGCTTTACAGAATTAACATATAGACGAAGGCTTTACAGAAATAACATATAGGGGAAGGCTTTACAGAAGAAACACATAGGGGAAGGCCTTACAGAAGTAACATATATGGGAAGGCCTAACAGATGTAACATATATGGGAAGGCCTTACAGAAGTAACATATAGGGGAAGGCTTTACAGAAGTAACACATAGGGGAAGGCTTTACAGAAGTAACATATAGGGGAAGGCTTTACAGAAGTAACATATAGGGGAATGCTTTACAGAAGTAACATATTGGTGAAGGCTTTACAGAGGTAACATATAGGGGAAGGCTTTACAGAAGTAACATATAGGGGAAGGCTTGGTGTCATCTATTTTGTAAAGTATCGCCTTTCCATTGTACTCAATATAGTCTGGAAAATCCTGGAAATAGTTAGTTATGTTCATCCACCAATGCAGCCGCTGTTATTACTTACTAAGGGTAAAAGCAATGGGTAGAAGAAGAGCTGGGAGCTTGCCACATCCATACACATGACCAGCTGTCTTTGAAATGCCCGCTCATCAGTGGCAATCTCTGGGTTGCCCAGCAGAACCTCGTTCTTTAACAAGCAGTTCATGTAGACTGGAAGCACTTTCATGGAATCAGGAAGGATGAGCTGGAAAGAAAGATGGAAAAAGTATTATACACTTTACTTTGTAGAATCAAATTCCATTATGGGAATTGTGCATGTCTCGAACATGAAAGAAAATGGACCTTCTTTGCAAAGTAACTCTACTATATGATGTGCTCTATATTTCTTTTTCTATCCGGTTATGGTTTAACCTGCTGTGAAAAGCCATGCCTACAGAAATACATGGACTGCTGGGGTAGGAAAGATCATTACTTAGAAATATCAGTCATTACTTGGGAAGATATGGATCTGCGAGGCTGCAATTAAGGCCATATACGAAAGACTGTCCAACTTTAAAGTGACACTAAACTCAGGAGTTAAATCTTATAAATGCATTCAAGTACCTGAATTATTAACAAAAATGTATCGTATTTGTGATTCTCAAATCATCTCTGAATTGGTGCTGATACTTCCTTCTGGAGGGTGGCTACTTTCTTCCCCATGGTCCTTGTGTGTGTTGTACAGTAGGCACCGCTCCAAGCTCACTCCTGTGATGGACTACAATCTCATGTTTACTTTACTAATTTGTATTGAGATTGTAGTCCATCACGGGAGTGAGCTTGAAGTGGTGGGTACTTTACAACACACACAGTGACCATGGGGAACAAAAGTAACCCCCCTCCAGAAGGAAGGACAGTGTCACCACCAATTCAGGGATGATTTTAAGTTCTACAATTGAGTAATAGACAAATAAAATACATTGTTAATAGTTAGAGGAGAATTATGGTGAGATTGAAATACACTCATCCCCATAACTAGAGCAGACGTGCGACACCGAAGCTGTTACACGTCGGCTCTATTGATTGGGAACTAAGCGATCACATACTGCTGATCGCTGAGTTTCTGATCTTCTCCCTGCAGAGAATGGTGACTGTCAGTCACTGCTCCCTGCAGGGATTCACCTTTACAGGCACAGCTGGCTCTGGTTCTAGAGAGTCAGAGTCAGACAATATTGTCGGGATCCTTCCCGGCTGTGGCGCGGCTCTGCACGGTCAGCAAATAGCGGGCAATAGCTCACTATATGCTGAGTTTTAAGTCACAGGAGGACATTAGTATAAGTTTTCCTGTGACCCTAAAGAGAACTATGGCAAAAGAAGGTAGGGCCATAGTTCTCTTTTTAGGTACATGAATGTATTTTTAAGATTTAACTTTAAGTTTAGTGTCACTAAACTTTAACCATTTAGTTCTCTGTACTTTACAAAACAACATGCTGGGTCCCTCAAATAGTTTAGCGCTTTTCCTCCATACAAGGTGTGAGTACAGCGAAAAAAAGACAGTGACAATAAATGAAAGTATACTTTAGCCAAAGCCACTGTTTTCCACTAATAAAATCTGATTCTGATTTATTATGACCTTTCCCAGGACCTCAAGAAACAGGAATCACTCAGTAATGTCGTTCCAATAACAAATGTCTATTTATTCGGAAAAACCGTCACAATGCAAAGAGCCAACGTTTTCGGGGCCACACAGTGTCCCTTCATCAGGGCAATAATGTTTTTTGCTGTTTGTTTGCACGGCGCCATCCGTGATTATCACTGCGAGCACCATTACTACACAGGCCAGGAGCGCTGGGGGGAGTGCAGAGGGACTTTCCATTTGTCTACTTTCCCAGGACCTTTCATCTATTACTGCTGGTCACAATTCAGAGCAGGGTCTATGTAAAATACTAGTGTCACCTATCTACAGTGTGCCAGTGATATGTTTGACCCGTACCCGCTGAATCTTCACACAGTCTCTCCCTAACCATTCGGGGTTTTGATGTATATACCCTTCTTTACCATGCCTACTAGGTTTTGACAAATCCAGCTTTTAATCAAGACACGGCTTTCTCCAAATTAACCATTGCTACTTTCTATAGCAGACATTTCCATTCAGCTTAAATCTCTGCACTCTCTCTAGTGCCCAGTAGCTGATAATACAGCAAAAGCACACAAGACCTTCTAAAGACAAGCACACAAGAATAGTCTGATGTAAAGAGTAGTCGGATGGTAGTCTGTAAAGCTGAACTCCAGGCAAACATCTGAATAAGCAGATAAAAAAAAAAAAAAGATCACAGATTTTTTTACCTGCCAAAATATTTGTATTTCTGTCCATTTCGCCCTGAGAGCTCTAATGCAGTTAGGTAAACCCTACAGGACGTGTCCCTCCACCAGCCTGTGACTGGACAGTGACAGAAGCAGTAGATATAAGCAGTTCATATCTTTGTAATTCTGCTCTCTCCACCTATCAACATGTTAAATGTTTGCACATTAGCACCACAGCACAACTGACTGTCTCCTTATCCTGCTTCTCCTTCTCTCAGTATGAGATCTGCTGTATAGGGACTGTAAGTGACTGATATCAAGTCAAATTCAAAACAATGATGTATTAATGAACATAGAGCAGGGGCACCCACATTTTTTTGATCTACTTTTCAAATGACCAGCTCAATGTGATCTACCAACGAATGACATGGCAATGCGCCTCCGGCAGCAGAGTAGGTGTGATTGCGCAGTACATTGCATTCATCCCACAGGAGTTTGTGATGTACGCACTAGTGTGAACGGGCCCTTAGCAGATCTAGCACTCCTATCAGAGGACAGGTAAACTATGGGACTATTACCTGTAATGGCCAAGCTGCGTCAACATTGCTGGCTCTTCCTTCCTTCCAAACCTTGACAGGCCCTCTTTAGTGCTGCTGCTGTCCCCCACCCCCAGAGACTTCATTCCTGACGCTGGAGGAGCACTCAAGGCCACGTCCCGCCGGTTCAGTACAACTCCCACAGTCTCAGTACAACTCCCACCTCCTACCAAGACAAAGATATGCAGAGCTGCCTCCTCCTCCACTATGCTGCTTATCCTAGCGAGGCCAGCCTCCTCCTGCTTGAATGAGTCGACTTGTGATCGGGATCTACCACCATTAGCTTTGCAATCGACAGGTAGATCACAATCGACCTATTGGGCACCCCTAATATAGGTCGATTGCGATATCGAAGGATATACACTGTATATATCCTTTATTTGTGTAATTGTTATCTATCTAAAGTTCCTCTAAAGTAACTTACACTTGGCTCCTTCACACCACAACACACGCATTATTGTGCGCACAAGGTGCATGCATCAGTGAGAGGTGTGAATACGCATTGCCATGTGCTGCAATGTGTTGTGCTGCAGCATGTTACGACGTGCTGGCATGTAAAGTGATGCGCTTCTGTAGACTGCACTGCAAGAAATGCAGCATGTCTACATTCTTCCCTAGCACACACCAACACAATGCTTAGATGTGAACTGGGCACATGGACAGAAATAGTTGACCCTTCATTGATCAGCTCAGATCAACACAGCTCAATAGGTGCCCTAAAACAAAGCTTACAGATGGGATATTATTATTATAAAGGGTTTAAATAGCACCAACAGTTTGTACAGCGCTTTACAATATAAGGAACACATTACAGTTACAATACAAGTCAAGACAAGATGTTAGGAGGGCCCTGTCTGTGAGAACTTAATGTTAATTATACCTCTAAATTAAAAAATAAAGAGAAACTGCAAAGATAGAAGATAGATTGCACTAGGATTGTTAAGGTAAGAGAGATACTGATGTACAATACTGCACTAAGTAAATGACTTAAACAATCTCCACTTACTTGGCTAACAGCCGAGGGACTTGCACAGTTCTTCCTATAGCATGCTAACATGTGAGCTGTCTGATTGATCAACACATCACGCACTGTCTTCAGAGGGTGATGCAGGGTTGCTTTGTAAGCTGAGATGAAACAAAATAGTGAAAGGCTTTAGAAAGGATTTCAAATACCAGCACTCCATAATTGAAAGATAAATATCTGCCAGGAATGTGAAGAATGAGCTGCAGTACCAAATGAATCCACAAGATGTCATTGAATTCTTATATATTACTGTGTGTTATTCTGTGCAGACTTCGCAAGCACCAGTTCCAGGGATGTGATCACTATTGATTATATGTATTCTCTGTACATATAAAATGGAATCTGATGTCTGAGAAGAATAGAATGCTGCATATCAATTCCTTGATATGTTCCATCCTGTTGTACATATTGCATTATAAACGGCATTCTTAAAATGAGTGTACTTGTGTCTATGAGGAGTACACTCACTGTGTCTAAGTGGTTCGCTTTCACATGTAGATATTGTTGGAGATTATTCAGTACCCAACGGCAGAATTCTGAATGAAAAGAGCAATAGTTACCTGATTTAGCAAAGAAATTTATGAGGGCGTCTGTCTCACAACTCTTGTATAGATCTGCAAGTTGTGGACTGCAGCTCAGACTGATGTTATGAACCAATAGGCGTCTTTGTCCGTTGATGGTTGTGTACAGAACAGCACACTAGAGGAACACAGGAGGAAACACATTATTTACTATGCACTAAACTGAAATACAATGGGGGGAATTTATCAAAACTGGAGCAGACAAAATCTGGAGCAGTTCCCCCATGGCAACCAATCAACTCCTCTCTTCAGTTTGTTCAGCTAAGATTTGAAAATAAAAGATAGAAGCTATTTGGATGCTATGCTCAGCTGCTCCAGATTTTGATAAATTCCCCTGTATTTGTATTACATCACATTTTAAAACAGAACTGTTCACGATCACTAGTCACTTTTACACATGCTGAGCCGGGACTAAAAAGCAAAAGTGCTTTAGCTCACATTTGTGAAGTGTCTAAAGGTGGGTAGGCTCTCTGGGAATGGTAACAAAGGCTAAAGTAGAGCCCCAGACAAAACTATTCCTCTAGATTTGTATAGAGTGATGAGGGGCTGGTACCTGTGTCAGGTGTTTTTGGTGCCTCATTATGGAGATCTACCCTGAATATTTGTACTGGTGACCAAGTGAAGAGAAATCCAAAATGCTATGGCTGTCACCAGAACAGCTGTAGAGGGTAGGTCTTCCAATGAGCATACCTACTCTGGTGACAACTGCCAGGTGCGATTTCTACTCACTTCCTATCGTATCCCAAGGGTGGGAAATCAGGGGGAATCTCCCTGATGGGAACATAAAAGCAAAACAAAGGTGAGAGGATTTCTAACCTTTCCCTATTCTTTCCAAAGCAAAGGTTTTGTTTGGGGTACGTCTTTAAAAAATAACGTTATCACTGTGCTGCAGTGCAGATTTTCTCTTGTCAGCCCTGTGGAATGAATGAGAAAAAAACCAATAGATTCCTCCATCCATGCTAAACTGCGTGGACAGAGGAATCTCTGGTGCCAGCTATCATATTCAGGCAGCTGCAGCATCCGTGCCATCCTGAATACCCGAACAGTGACTGCATCTGATAGTCACTGTTTGGTCATACATTTTGTAGAGCTGGGTGGTGCCAGCAGGGCCACCCATGGCTCACACTTTGTCCAATTCAGCAGGAATCAGCCTAAATTTGAGCTGTGTATTGCTAGCTTAAAGAAGAAAATGAACCCTTGCAGTGGGGCTATGTTTTTATCTAGGTTAAAAAAAAATTATACTCACATGAACCGTCAAGCTAGCTTGTTCTTGGCCCGGTCCTTCCAGCCTTTCTCCACCTCTGTCTAAGGTCCTGTAAATCATCCCATTCTATACACTGCATATAGGAAGTGAGGATGCTGAGCAAGATTCCATTGCCGCAGTGGAGGAGAAGAGAGGCTGGTGGGAGCGCTATGACAGCTGGGCGGTTCGGAACTTTGGGTGAGTATGACTTTGTTATTTTGAACCTAGACAAAAACAAGCACTTAACCATTGCAGTGCCGTGTTAGCCCCACAACATGGGTTAATATAATTTTTCCGGGAGTTCTTCTTTGAGGTTATGTGCAAATGAGTGAAGTGCAGTCAAAGTATTTTTTGTTCATAAAACAAAGCCACTGAGACTGAGCAGGCAATGAACATTTTGTCCATCCAGTCTTAAAACATTGCAAGGCTAGCTTAGTGACTTCTCTTTTCCACCTATTGTTGAGCTCAGATGGAGTTGTTTCTCCATGGTGTATACATGGATCTGCTACATATATAATGCAGGGCTCAAAATTTCCACTTGCCCCCTCGCAAATTGCGAGTGAAAACTGCATGGGGGCGAGTGGAAATGAAGCTATTGAGTCTGGCACTCTGTCACGGACTGAGGCAGCTATTGTGCTCGTCCAGCCACAGAACGTATGAGCAACTCCTCAGAGCGCAGGAGCTGACTAGGGGAAGCGTCCTGGCTGCTTGGAAACTCTTCGCACATGCTCAGTGCAAGCTCTCTTTCCCTCGACAACTCGGCCGTGGCTCTGAAACCCAAGCTTTCTGTGACAGTAAGTTAACTCTGCAGATGTTAGAGCATTGATTAACCCCTACTGTGCCACGTGATCTATACATTTTTGAATGTGTATGGTGACACGAATGTATTGATTAATGTGAGCAAGTGTGTATATGTAATGCCCTGCGTGTTATGCTGTGTGCATGTGTAATGCACTGTGTGTTATGCTGTGTGTATGTGTAATGCCCTGTATGTTATGCTGTGTGCATGTGTAATGCTCTTTGTGTTATGCTGTGTGTATGTGTAATGCCCTGTATGTTATGCTGTGTGCATGTGGAATGCCCTGCGTGTAATGCTGTGTGTATGTGTAATGCCCTGTATGTTATGCTGTGTGCATGTGGAATGCCCTGCGTGTAATGCTGTGTGTATGTGTAATGCCCTGTATGTTATGCTGTGTGCATGTGGAATGCCCTGCGTGTAATGCTGTGTGTATGTGTAATGCCCTGTATGTTATGCTGTGTGCATGTGGAATGCCCTGCGTGTAATGCTGTGTGTATGTGTAATGCCCTGTATGTTATGCTGTGTGCATGTGGAATGCCCTGCGTGTAATGCTGTGTGTATGTGTAATGCCCTGTATGTTATGCTGTGTGCATGTGGAATGCCCTGCGTGTAATGCTGTGTGTATGTGTAATGCCCTGTTTTTTGTAGAGTGTGTGCGTTGTGCCCTGTGTGTTTGTGTTATGCTCAGTGTGTTGTGTTGTGTTGTGTGTGTTTGCATTATGCCCCGTATTGGTCCAGTGAGAGAATGATTATTTTGTTCCCAGGTACACTCGGTACATCTGTGCACAAGAAGAATAGGATGGAGTGGGGTCAGGCAGGGCAACTCGTGGTGAGTAACTTTTAAGGCCTGGCTAGTAGCTCAGGAACTGAAATTTTGAGCCCTGATATAATGTATACACTGGTCTCCCTGGAAACAATATATACATTCATATATGTGGAGATGTAGAGTGTACCATGCCTCTTTACAAATTACCTGGAGAGTAAAATGGAAACACCATTCTCAAGACATCACTAAAATACCTGAATCAATGCTCCTGTGTCTTCATTTAATTTGTCATCATGTTTAAACTCCACAGTTACTGCTTTGTCGGCATCAATGGCAGCCATTTCTACATCTGTGGTATTGTTCATATATAAAGCACCAAAGAAATCAGTGGCCCTGAATCCTGAAAAAAAAACAAAAAAACAATCATATGGTTGGTATTGTAATCAGAGTTCATCATTATTCTGTTCTAGTGTGGAAAAGTAGGTAAATAACTGCAATTACGAGTCTCCAACACAGCGTCACAGCACCCAGCACTGATACATGTACAACCTTCAACTGTGACAAAGAAGGAAGAATATCAGAAAATAACATTAACTGTGGGATCCAAGCAAGGTGCACAGTCTGAGGAGAATAGAAAAGGCACGTTGTACAGCAAAAGCCATCATAATCAGGAGGAGAAGAATTGGCTCAACACAGAGGTCCTTTAAGGCCTTGACTGCTGAAACCTTCTGTAAGTGATGTGCTGTGAGAAGATGAGTAAAACTAAAAAAAAATTTAGTCAAAGAGAATTAATAAAAGGGGGATAGAATAAGAAGGGAGAGTGAAAAGAAAGTATCCCGCTTCACTGCTTCAAGTCATACTAAAGTCAAAAGGTTTTAAAGATATTTCAAATGCTGATTAAATCACTTGCAATGGATGCTGCTCCTTGATATTTAAAAGTTTTAGCTTCTGTAGAATCAGGTTGTCCCCTGATTATTGGCCCTGACTTCCTGTTTTAGAGTGGCTTCTTTCCCTTGCAGGGTCCTATGGAGCCACCTTTGTCTGCCTCTACTAATGCACAGACACAGCAAGGCAGGCCACAGCCCTCTTCAATATTCCTCCCTCCTCCAAGCTAGTAGATGTACAACTACTGCAGAGTGCATTTTCCCTTGTGATCTTGTGCTCAGCGGGAAGTTGAGAGAAGCCGAGCTGAGAGAGTTGGAGCCAGCTGTTTAAAAACATGATGAATGTAAGTGCTTCCGTGAGTGCAAAAGTGTAAAGAAATAGTTTGCTGGGCAATGTATATTTGTTTGATCTAGACGTATTATTGCAAAAGGTTTGAGTGTTTAATACTACTTTTAGGAGACCCAAGGAGTAGATCATGGCTATTGGAAGTCTACACTACCTGAGAGTAATACATCTGTTCTCAGTGCAGGATATCAGGTTGCAAATGGCCTCCAGTGCCAGGAATAGGTTCAACTCGATGGAATTGTGTCTTTTTTCAACCTGACTATGTAACTATTAATACGGTCCATAGTAAGGTAGCTCAGTGTTTTAAGATTATATCCTTTAAAGTAAGCCCCTTCAACGCTCTACTAACTAAACACATAACGTCTAATGCCTACAAGACCCCTAAACTCCAGATATAACTTTGTTTTGGATAGTATAGAAAAGGCATAGAATTCCTGTCAGGTTTACATTACCCTTTCCCATTCCCTGCTATCCAAAACTAAAAATCATTTTGGTTAGAGTTCCTCTCTGATCCTTACCCCTCAACAATACACACTTATCATGTCCCCTAACATTTAACTTCACCCTATCATAATACTTAAATGAATCCCTAAAATGAACCTTAAGACTTAGGTCTCATTCACACAGCTAAGAGGCGGGGCCGTACAGATCCATGCGGATACACAACAGTATCGGGCCGTTCCCAGGAGGGACAGGTGCTGCGTGTGATTGCAAGCAGCAGCCTATTCTCTATGGGAGGACGTGGCCGTACGCTCACCCGAGCTGCACATCCGCGTGGGTCCGGGTGTCCGTATTCAGACGTAGACAGGATGGATCCTGTCTGAGCACAGACACCCGAACCTGTGTGGATGTGCAGTTCGGGTGTGTGTATGTCAGCGTACGTCCGCGTCCTCCCATAGGGAAGAACAGGCTGCTGCATGCAATCACACGCAGCACCTGTCCCTCCCGGGAACGGCCCGATACGGCTGTGCACGCCGCATGGATCTGTACGGCCCGACTCTACGCTGTGTGCATGAGGCCTTAAAGTGGAACTAAAGTCTCGCTGTGAAAAATTGCAAGGAGACAGAATTTTGGCAAAAGAGACATGCAAAGTCTCTTGCCAAAAACATTTTTGCCCAATGCTCCTCCCAATTTTACACTTCACGGCCCATACGAGAATAGAGCTGGGTTCTAGGAATGATGTAACTCCTGTGCACATGCATCAGTGGCCATCCAGTGGCTGATAAGGAGCGCCTCAGGACCTGGAAGAATCGGTAGGGGAGACTTTGGTTGTGTCAGACAGATTAGGGACTAAATCAGGGGTCTCAAACTCAATTCACTTGAGGGCCACTGAACAAATTTTCTTCTCCCATTGGGGCCGCTTGGCAAATTTAATAAAATGTCATACTTCAAAACTAAGGGGTCTATTCACAAAGCTGCCGAAGGATCTGGCCGTAGCTTCGATTTTGTATGTAATGTCAGTAGAATTTTTTGTGATGGGTTGTGTGTGTGTATTTTTAGGATTTCTGTGAGTGATGTGTGTGTCATATCAGCATGTATACATGTGTATATATGTGCAGTGTCAGTATACTGTAAATGTGTGTGTTTTTTCCCCACAGGTTTTAATTTTAATCATAGAGGACCAACGGATTCACACATTCACTCACACACAGAAATGCTCGCACAGAGAAATCAACACACCCTCACACACACAGAAATACACACACAATAAGGCCCTATTCACACCTAAAAGCTTAGGTGCTATTAGGGATTCCTGCGTTTTCCTGCAGCAGCAATCCCTAATCTGGCGTTTACATGCAGCAGCTGTCACCCACTCAAGTTAATGATCAGGTGACAGCCACTGCATGTAAACGCTTGCACACCCCATGTAATCATATGTGATACAATTACATGCGGTTAGGAATCAATCACTATCCCTAGACGTACCCACAAAGAGAAAGAGCCCCCTCCCCTGCTTACATTCTTGCAGGGAGGAGGAGAGGAGACACAATCCCTGGTGATCCAGCGGTTCATTAGTAAGTTCTGCACTTTTGGCTGGTGCAGACCTTACTAATCCAACCTTTTGGCCAGCGCTCAGTGAAGGTTGTTAGAGTGTCGGCTGAAAGGATCTTAGTGCTGGCACTGCCGGGAGCAGCTATGCGGTCTGCATCTGACAGAGATGCAGACCGTCTAGCTGCTCCCCCAAATAAGGTCCGCGGTTTGTGACTCCGTGCCCGACTTGTCAGCTGGCTGCGGGCCACATGGTACTGGCTCGCGTGCTGGTACTCTGAGACTCCTGGACTAAAGCCTGGACCTGATATAGCTGGGGGAAGCAATGCTGAGAGGTAAGGGTGCCATAATGTACATGTAAGCTGTCCATACTTTCACAATAATGTTGGAGGCCGGCCACAACCAGCAGAATTTAATTCCGCTTTAACCCTCCCCAATACTTTACCCCTAAAACTCAGAACCCCTAAGCCTAACACCAACACTATAAAATAAGCCCCTCATTTTGTATTGTAGGTAAATTTGTAGTATATGGGCTTTTGAAATGAAGGGCAGTTTAGCAGTTGGCAAATAGGTTTTCTTGTAGTTTAACTCTATTAGGTTTGTGACAATTCCAGAAACTTCTATGAGTTAGAATACAGGTGGCATGATACCTAATATTTAATAATTCCGAATGTAAAGCTAGCTCACAGTGTAAATAAGAATCCTCCTTTAGAACTGATTGGGCAAAGCCAGAGGCATTGTATGCAATGGGAGTGAAAGATGTGGGATCACAGTAACCTTGTCCAGCTGCAAAGTCAGTCTGTTCTAAGGGCAGCACATTCTGTTTAAATAGGCCTGCAAATTTCAGAGCCAAGTGGATTCCCAGATATTTCATTGAATAATCACTACATTTAAAATGAAAAGTGGATTGCAATGGCTCCAATGACAGGACAGCTCTTGTGTCATTTACTGTAATGCCACAGATTTGGTGAATTTGATTTCAAATTCTAGAAAGCCTTTTACCATTTCTTTTATATGTCATATTCATTGTCATATTATATGTCATATTCATTGCAGTTATATATTTGGTAAAGCTGGGAAAGAACAGTAGTAGGTAAATATCATCATACCCTCCCCATCAAGACTGGCTGAGGACCTGCTGAACCGGCTGTTTCCTGCTGAATCAGCCAAAATCTGAGCTGCGGGTGACCGTTTTTACACCACCCGGCTCGATAAAAGTCAATTTAAAACTGACAGAGTCGGATGGAAAGTTACCGGCTGAACACTAACTGCATCCTATCAGATCACTGTTCAGAACAGATCAGCAGTCAGTCACTGTTCAGGAATTCCAGCAATGTATGCTAATTAAAGTCCAGTTACAGACCTTGATGTCAAATCAATATACAAACTACAATAATGATTAGGCTCCTCTTATAGTTTACTAGGCGGTTGATGGCTGATATCCTTTAATACTTCTCACACACTTTCCTTTTCCTTGGACAACTGTGTGAGCTATTAGAATATCCTTTAGCAAAGAATATAACAGACTGACTATCATTATGATAAAAAGCTGTTTTCTATACTTATAGTTGTACAATATTTCCTATTAGTAACTGGTCCAAGACTGGCCCAATCACTTATCACCCCCCACCGGGCTATTGTATACTATTATATCAATTTCGGCCGAGTCAGCACAAAACTCGAGCAGCGTATGGACAGCTTAAGGATCTAATGAGTGATAGGCCAAATCTCACCCTATAAGGCCCTGGAGCCCCAGGACTGTTTTATTGTTATATGTACTTTATATTCATCCATGGTAAACTAGTAAGGGGACCAACGGACCCTTTCACTGGTTCCCTTTCGAAGGAACATCAGGTACGGGTTTACACTGTATTAGAAAAACTGCAGGGTCAAATACAAACACCAGCAACTTGCACACTGCCCAGCTTTTTATTAATGGCATGCAGATATTGGGGGCTTATGTTGACCCCTTTGATTTAGAGAACAAACAAGTATAACACCTTTATGGATCAAAATGGTAAAAAAACAGCTGCTGTACCTTGCCTTTCATGAATATGATGGATACTCTATAGCAAGTGGCCTGTGCTTTGTTTTTCTTACCGTCAACATTAGCATTATCAATATCCATATTATGAATTTGTAACTTTTTTAATCAGTTACCTGGAAGCCATCAAAATCAAAGTTCCCGAAAGAAAATAATTGAAAAGTTTGAGTTCATCTATTGATTAATAAGATTATGCTGTTTTCATTTGTACAAACGTACCTGTGCTTGTACGGACTCTCATGATTGCATCAAATCCTATTCTTTTCTGAATATCTTTCTTGAGGTCACTGATAAATTGCTGACCTTCTGTATGTATCTAAAGAAAAGATAAGTAAACATCAGCACCAGTAGGTGGCCGAAAAGCACAACTCATTTCCCACACTACAAGTCTCCCATTGCACAATAGCTTACCCTACATAGCTTTGACCTTTCCCATTACCCAAATCTAAGTTGTTGTTTTTTTTGTGTAACTATACATAGTGTATATACAAGAGCTGATGAATTATATTTGTTCATTAGGGAATTGTTTTCCCATATACAGTTTTCATTATTCAAAATATCAAACCTTTATTCTCACCTAATTACAATACAAACTATGTATGCCACTACTATATATCAGGGGGCTTTCACTACATATAAATATATGTTATACAGTGTCTCTTTAACATAATATAGCTACAAGTGAAGTTCTCATGAGAGTTTCCCAGGATCTTGATGGAATCAGGCAGTTGGTATAGACAAGTACACTGTGTTTTTTTTCTGTACTACACTCCTACTGATCCATTTCCTGTGCTTGTCACAAACCCAGAGGAATAGCTAAACTCCTCTGAGCCCCAATGCACAGTGCTCGTGACAACACTTTAAATAGCATGGGAAATGTATAACCAGTAAAATACTATAGTCGTGCTTTCATTAGCGGAATGAAACAGGCCTTCCTGAATAAGGATCACACTGGGACCCCTGGAGTCAAAGGTTTAGAAGTTGTAGCTAGCCCTAGTACCCCTGTTGTCTGCTACTCTCTACAATACCTCTTGCACAGTTCAATAATCATAACACATTCTGCTCAGTTCTTTAGAAGTAAGGCTGTGAAGGTATACAACCGCTTAAAAGGAAGCAATGATTTACCTGGAAATTGTTATACTTGTAAAGTGTCCCTCCTGTGAGCATTGTCACCAGACCCACTGATGCCACATCAATGTAATTATTAGGGAACAGGAAAAGGTCCACACAGCACCCAGTGGCAACACATTCCTTTGCCAGATTTTCATATGCGTTGGACTGGGGTAGGAAGAGGTTCTGAAGGAGAAATACAATTTGTGATCTGTAGTCTTTTAAGTATTTGGCATGCAAAATGATCCTGATAGTTCTCAATTGGGGAACAGTTACCTTACATTCTGCTATTACCAGGGATGTATTACAGTATCTGTAAACACTGAAGTGCAACTTGAGCCTAAAACTAAATGAGCTGACCCACACGTGGTCCCATGAGAACCAATAGAAAAAGTGTCTTACAATGTGAAGATAAATATCATATAAATGTAAATCCCCAACATTTTCTAATAAAAAAGCCTAACCCGCCAGGTTAATCATGAGCACTTGATGTCATCTCCCATTCTGTCCAGCCAATCCAAGGGATTAACAGGTTAAAAGGAAGGTGTCTTGAAAACATAAAGCCCCTAAATTGCATCTTGAATGCCTAAGCAACTTCTCACAAATTAGTGCTGGGGAACTGATTATTTAATATTTGTCTGGATGTGGGTGGTGGCAAACTGCTTTAGGCCACCAGCGCTATAGCTGTGAGCCAATACCATATAAGCAGCAGAACTCTCTCTTAGGACTTGTTCACACGATGTCCGGATTCTGTCCGGACCAGAACCGTGCCTTCCTGCACCTAAAATGCATCCCAATGTCTCCCTATGTGTTTTATGGGCTACAGTTCTCACCAGCGCAGCCCGTTCCGGTCCGGACAGAAATAATACTGCATGTCACATTTATTTTTTTTATTTTTTAACTGGAACGCGGTAAATACGCGTCATAAGGGCACTGCACGCATAGCACCCCATCTACAGATCTGCTCCAGATCTGGACCAGAAAATGGTGTGAACAAGCCCCCAAATTACAGACCTAATGTATATGTACATACAACATACTATATAAAATAGGCAACAAATGCCACGTGTCATATTTTGTCCATACAACTACACAACACTATGGCCTCAGTTCTACTTTAAGGGTCATATGCTCACAAATATGGAGCATGTTATATAAGACACAATGTGATACAATAGTATAGAACTTTTTTAACTGTAGAAAATGCTAAACATTAGATGAATGTTATTCTCACAATATAGTAAGTGCTCAGTGAGTAAATACCTTTTCTTTGTCGGTGTTAATCAGCCTTCTGTCATCTCTGTTCTTCAGTTTTCCTGGGGCTTCTGCTGTAGGTAGTGATGAATGGAAGATGAACAGCTTGCCTGCACATTCTGCTGCCTGTCATAACACAGAAAACATGACTCTCGGTAAGTTATTATGGGCAAAACCAGAAATGTAGGGGTTACAACCCCTACTGCTATACCACTGTAATGCAACAGATTTTGTCATTTTACTCACTTGTACCATGTCTGCTGTATTTACATGGATAACAACAGGGGGTGCTGGCGGTACACCTGCCTACTGCTGAACTAGAAAGGGAGTGCTGAACTCTCTCTTTCTGCCCTCTAGTATGTTAGAGAGGTAAAGGGGGTGATTTACTAACCTAAACACACGCACGCACCAGGTGCGTGTGATTTTTACACAGCAAAGCGTAATTATCAACCAAAAAGTCTCTATAAGCATATTTCCACTAATGCCATATATGGAAAAATCATGCACATGATGCATATATAATGCTGCTTCACAGTTTAGACAAGTGAAGCAACGCAAGCAACACAATGTAGAGCTAATTTACACAACATCACCTTGCAATTCAGGGCAGGGCTTTGCACAACACACCTGCTGGGTGTGTGCACATTACAAAGGTGTCTAGATTCCACCCATAGATCATGCTGGGAGGGAAAACACTACAGAGGTGTATACATGTTCGTGGTGTGTTTATAAGGTTAGTAAATCAACCCCAAAGTCTCAAAGAAAAATAAATACTGCTGTGCTCTCTCTTCAGATAAACTAGAATTTTTCATTTGTAAAAACAAAGATTTGATATAAAAAACAATGATATAAAAGATCAATTTTAAAACTGTACACTTTAACCAAAGAATCAACCCCAAAACATTATAATTTCCCTTTAACCCTTTCGCTGCCAAGGACATACGGTGTACGGAGCTACAAAAGTGCTTCCAGCTGGCCAGCTCAGTATGCCGTACGGACCTGGCATTTACAGTTCTACTATAAGCTGATGGTCGCTTTAGCATTGAGATGAAACCAAAATACATTCTGTAACAAATAAGTCATATGAATAACCTCGCATTTGTAAAGGTCCCTTTTCACACAGGCGCCACGTGAAAGGTGCCTTATGCGATGGAGGAAAAAACTGAGCTGTATAGATCCATGTTAGGTCTATAGGGAGCCAGATGTAAGCAGACATGTGTCTGTTTTCATCAGATTACCTGCGATGTGTCACGATCAGGTCCTCTAAAAGGGAAATCTTGTTACGTTTTTGTTTTTTTTCTGGACCTGGATGGAGCTGGGGTAATCAGATGTGAAGACGCACATCCATTTAGATCATGTTGCCTATAGAGTAACATTGGCCTTCCGATCAGGGGATAGGGGCCTTGCCATTTTTTTTTTTAGATGGCAGAAAAGCTAATGATGAACATAAGATTTTCCTAAAAGCTTTTATTTGTGGCACTGGGATTTCTGTCTTTAGGACCATGCTAGACCACTGCAGGGGAATGCGATTGAAGCAAACCTAGACTTACCCTACCTGAACTGCAGTGATCAGTGATAATGGCTGAAAATAATGGATAATTATACTTCAGTAAAACTGCTTTAGAAGCTCATACTGAAAGCAAAGTAATATAAAGTGGACGTGACATGTTATCCCATAAGCGTTTTTTTGTTCTAACTATAGAGTACACCCTCAGCTTTCACAATTTAAAGTTTACTTTACGAGTTTATATCCCAAGCTGCACATTCTAAACAAGAGCTATCTTATCAAAGCTTACGCGGGCTTCATAATGGGATACAAGCTTTAATAGGAAAGAATGTAAACATTGCCAGATTGTTAAATAAGGGCAATCAGAGCACTGTGCCGTCTATAGCTGCTATACATTGTTCTCAGATAACACTATTGTCATTGGGTAAAACCATACAACAAACTCACATCATACACAACTCGATCATAAAAGCAACCCTTTATTTACATTTTTGTTATTATAAATGGAAATTATTTTCAGGGAAGGTAGGGATTATTATAAGAAACTGAGGTGTGGGCTTGGTAAGTATTAAAGCATACATCAAGAATTTATATCCTGTACATTTTACTGTCAGTTATGACCTTTTAGGACTTGTACATGTGAACACTAACAGGGCAATTCCCAAAATATAAAGCAAAGATATTATCTTTCATACAGCTGTTTACTTAAACAATAAATGATAGAATGCAGCTCAGAAACGACAACGATATAACATCTTCCTTATAACATCATCTATGAATAACTTGGTAAAAACTGTTTACAAGTGAAAAATGTATAGGGTGAGGTTATAATCTTATAAATGTGCCAAACAAAACCTGCAAGTCTATTTGTACAAGGAAAATGCAGTCTCACCTTTAATGCCTCCATACCAGCCTGGATAACCGGAGCAAAGACCGTTTCACTCTCATTTGTCTCTGCAAACATATCTGGGATCTGTCCAAGCAAGCTGTAAGACAGGGCAAGGCTGGTGATTCTAAAGGCCATGACTACAAAGAACTTTATATTGTCTTTTAAATACATCTCTCAATCTGAAAATGCTAGCTCCCTGGCTGTCATATTGATACTTTGGCTTTCAGAATAACTGACCAGAAGCAAATATAGACATAAGCAAATAATGTTTTTCCTTTCATTTGCTGCATGCTTGTTTAGGATGAGATGAGCAATGTCAGGCCTTATAGATCTTTCTCATGACGGGTTTTCTTTAAGGGTCATGCCACCCAATCTGATACTTTAGGTCTGAGGCAGATGTTAGCAGTTAGAAGTGGTAAATGAATTCTGATATTTCTCAGGTATTGACACTTGGATCTCTGCACATTAAAAGAGACATAAAGCCAAACTTTTTTTCTGGCTTTACTTCTCTTTTAGGTTACATTTACTAATGTACTCCTGTGACTTAAAGTCACCATATAATGAGCTGCTGCCCGCTATATGCTGACAGCGCAGAGCCATGCTGCAGCCAGAAAAGATCCTGTCAATATTGTCAGGATCTACCCCGCTGCCTGATTGACAGCTGGCTCTGCCTTCCAAGACATAGAGCCAGCTGTGCCCACCCCCTCCCATCTCTGTCCTTCCAATGAACAATGGAGGAACAGAGAGAAAAGGGGGAATCCTTGCGCATAGCAGTGGCTGTCACCGCTCTCTGCAGGGAGGAGACCATGAACTAAGTGATAAGCTCTTACATGATCGCTCAGCTCTTGGTATACAGATCCGGCGTGTGACAGCTGCAGTGTCCCACGCCGGCTCTAAGTATTGGGAAGAGTATATTTTACTTCCCCAATACATCTCCTTTAATATCTATACCCATATACCTGATGCAGTCATTATAAGACAATTTTACTTTACCAATGAAGTTTTTATTTATCATAATACATTATGGATAATGCAGCAGGAGGGATCAGATTGTCCTGCTGCAGCAGGATGAGCAAAGCTTTGTGGAAAGAAAGGGGCAGGACAATACTCCATTCTCTAATAGATAAAGAAGCCAGCACATGCTTCAACAAATACTTAGAAAATACCTAAAACTAAAAATACCAGGGGACTGACCCTTCAGAAGTTTACTGACATTTCAATGATCAGGTAGAAAACGCAATAATGTGCTGTTGTCCAGAGCAAGAAAGTGAAGCTTATCTTTGGCAAGCTGTAGTCATATTAACAAAAAGATCATCTGTTTCTATTGGCCACTGAATATTGCAAACTTTCAGCAGCATTTATTAATGGGTCAGATTGAGGGGCAGGCAACTTGGCTTCGGCCTAGGGTGCCACAGCTTCCAGGGTTGTTGTTCTGATTGAGTAAAACATTGCTCATACCTCCACACACACAGAGTGCTTTAATAGCTTACTAACTGGCCACTGTCTCTCACTGAGCTGCATTGACTACTCACTGAAATTGCTACATGCATTTCAGGAAATGGACCTCTGTCTATTTCCTTGTGTTACAGGGTAAAGTTGCTTTAAACAAAGCAGATGATGCATTTCAGTACAAAGATCAATACATGATGTGCTTCTTTATTTTCATAAATAGCCTGAGTTCCTTTGCTTGTCTTATATCAGTCTTAAGGCCATACTTTAAAACTAGAGTGAAGCGGTTTCCTTGATAACAAAAAACTGGCTATACTGTGCTAAAATGTATTCTGTTAATATAATACACCTCCATACTAATAAATGAATTCACAGTATCGCTTACTATAAAAGAATACATTACTTGTGAATTACTGATCTTGATTCATTGAAATTGACAAGGAATCCATCCAGAAGAGGCAGGAAGACCTCTGCCGTGTCTGTCACCACCATCATTTGAGGCTGGGCCAGGCTGCTGTTCACATTGTAGAAATGCAGAACCTTGTCATATGTGACAAATCCCACACGAATAGCCGATGACTCTGCATTCTCCTCCCTGCAAGAAAAACAGGCCGCACCATTAAATGAATGAGCCCAACAAAAAGGTTACTAAAGTTTTGTCTATATTATTAAAAAGAAATAACAAAATTACAAAAAAAAGTATAAAAAATAATATTAAAGAATTTCTTGAGATCACAATGTATTATCTGGACCTAGCCACACTCATAATGATATTATACTGTTTGTTGGAGCAATTACACAACACTGCAGGTCAAAGATTAAACATTTGTTTTATTCTTAAATAAATTGTCACGGCTTATCAGTCATAAATATGTTGAGTCTTGTAAAATCTCTCCAAAACTGTATTCAAGCCTTAGACAAAATCTCAAAATCAGGAAACAGATGATAGGAATAATCACTTGCCTCACAATGTTTTTATTGATTTGAGATATTAAAGAGAAGTAGAAAAAAAAGAATAAAAAACAAAAAAAAAAAAACACGATAACATTATAAGCATACAGCTCAACTTAAAAAAAAAAACCCTTAAAAAAGAAATCTTCTGTGTCCTAATTAGAAACATAAAGGATACATCACTGGTTTTGCCAATATATTTAAATATCTGAAATGCTATACAATCCAACCAAATGAATACAGCAACTATAATTGTTAAAGTGCATCAAACCAAGGGTCAGGGAGCAATTCGGGCGGGAGGCGGTTCGGACATGAACGGTCCCCATAGCAATGTATGGGATTGTTCATGTCGGTGGATTCCCGCGGCTAAACCGCCCTGGTGTGAACGGGGCCTTAGTAAGAACGTCAAGTTGAGCAGGGTATTTGACAATAATGAACTGTCACTTTGCATTGAAATCGTAGTTCTTACAGCAAGGGACATTCATACCATGACCAATGTGTCTTCTGTTTCTGTGACTACTAGACAGAAGAAGACTTTTGGGATGGGGTAGGGGGTAAATGAACATATAATGTGCTCTGCTTTGACCTATCTTATGATTCCATTATTGTCTCCTATACGTTTTTGTACAAAGAAATTATGATTCAAGCATCCACTGTGCTTAACAGCAGTCCTCCACTTTATTGGAATTAGGTTCTCCAAAATAGTATTCGGGTCAGCAGCCATAATACCCATAGATATTTAGTATTTGCAGCACTAAATCTAAATCCTGTCTTAGATTCCTACTAGGATACTGTGTTCCGGTATGAATGTGGTATCACCATTAGACTGCAGCTTCCACAGAGAAACAGACCTTTGGAGGGTTACATGTTTTTTGTTAACTCCTAAACTGGAACTATAAAGTGAACAAATGAAATACATCAAAATAACACTGACAGCATTGTTTCGTAGGTCTGGAAGGTTGTAATCAGATCTCTATACTGTATGTTAGAATCTGGGTGGTTGAGGACGAGTTGGAAAATTATGGAGTGTGCACCGTTTTCACCCCATCTCTACTCTGACATCCAAAAGGTCCCTACAGCTAAATGCAAAAGCTGACAAGACACTTACCACCTCAGGTTTACAGTAACATTTTTCTCTATACCCAAATGCTACATGTGCTATGTTTGTTTCTGTCTGAGTCATGCCGTGATTTTTCAGGATTCTGTATAGACGTGATGCTTTGGTGGTTTTCCAGTAAAAACTTGAATCATGCCCAAAACATGTTTCGGTATTCATAGCAGAGAGCCATTATCTTATGTTGTTCTTTCACTTCAACTAAGCAAGGCAGTAATTGCATTTCTCCTATGGGAGATGTCAAGGGGTTTTCTGAAGTGAGGTCATGGCTTGCCCAGCATCCTTCCAGAACTGAAACCCTTTTATGTAGAAACCTAATGGCTACATTTTGCCTTGTCTAGGCTTGTAACATTTACATATGTTGCAAAATATTCCTCATTTCTTAACCACAATATATCTCAGGCATCCTTATTTCAGGAAAATTATCTTCAGTTATGACATTCTATAAGTAAACTGCGCACAAGAATTTGGTGCTACAACCCAGGAGTAATCATTTTTTTACACGCTAGTAACAAGGCCATAAATCATTTTCGTGTTGCTTTTACAGGATTTGGCATATATTCCTTAGTCAATCTTCACTGTGAATACTTGAAACAGCAATTGGAATATTTATTCTTGCAGCGGTAAGAAGTGTACAGAAGGTGGCAGTAAAGCTATCTAAAACACCCTGAGGCTGACATAACTTGAATCATATAGTAAAACTTTGAGAATATGCAGAGACCTAGAGAAGTCCTATGCTACCCATTTGTGTCTTTGTTATTACATTAAAAACATTTCCCTAGATACGTACATACGTTTCAGAAAAAGTAATAAATGTCCATGCATAGTGGGGAGAAAATAAATATACCACACTATCTACTTAATGGTTTGCAGTTTGAAATAACCAAGCAAAAAATGTGCTTCAGAAATCTCTATGTACGCAGCTGGGTATTTTACTGATCATATAGTATGGTAGCCACCAGCAGTAGCATTTTCAGGAAATGAGTGGTCACAGGGGTACCAATTGGAAGTAATTGACCATAGAACAGCATAAAAGGGAGAAGGGAGTATCTCTTTGGCTGAAATAGAAGCCTAAGGCCAGGTCCTATTCCTTGCAGATATGGTCACTATTAGGACTCATTCACACCGCCGCGCGAATAGTACCATATGCAAATAAATGGCTCCATACACATAGCCGCGTATGGAGCAGTATATTTGCGTAGCGTATATATATGCGCAAAAACAGAATGGAACAGAGATGCGTCCGGGCAGCGCATTTCTGCGTATTTAGGCGCACTTACACGCGTATATACGCGCGTACAGCACATAAAAAATTCCATTACGAGTGATGCATTCTGGGATTGCATATAGTGCACGCATATACGCTCGTATATACGCGCATAGACGCTCGTATATACGCAATATACAATTTTGCTTGCGTTGTGTGTGAATGGGGCCTTATGGCTGCTGCAATAGGTCATATGCACTTGCTAGGATAATGGCATAAGCAGAAATCATGTATAGCACATTGATAGGTGCCATGAGTAATCTGGCCCCGATAGTGAGACACAATATACAAGCAGCCATAGGAAATGAAGAGATGACTACAGCACTATTAAACTGACTCTTTTAGTAGTTAGCAGATCATGCACCCCAAGTTACAGGAGGTCTGTACTAAGGCAGAGGGCAGGATTTCATTTCAGTAGAATCTTCAGCAGTACGGGATAAAATAAATTGACAGGGGTCCCAGGGGGATGCACTCTCAGACAATGCCATCCATAGACACAGGCCTAATATTCCTGTTTGGAAACATGGCCTTGATCCAATAATGAGCTTATTTATGGCCAGCATATTATTTGCATAACAGCTGCCTAAATGATTTTTTTTATATACTATACTTCAACTGCATCCATTGATATAAGCATCCCTAAAAAGTCAGTCTTTTATGGAATGTTGAGCACTCAGAATGAAGAGAAAAGAGACACTGACCTTGTAGGGCTGCCTGCTGACTCACATGCAGAAATAATGTAAACAATGGGAGTGGCATTAGTAGCACAAATTGTGTACCGCAGTTTATAGCTTTGCCTTACTAACAGTTTAAAGGGATTGTACAAATCAAAAAGTAAAACTTGAAAAACACCATTAAACCTACCTTGGAAGGTGATCCAGCAGAGTTTTCAGCTCCTCACATATTAGTCTAACAACACCACTTTTAATGTTGCTGTATGATACGTCTATCATGAAAATGAAAACTGGTGGATTGGAGGGTTTGTTTTTCTGAAGACAAAGAAATATATATTTTTATTATCAAGGAAAGAAAAACAAAATATTACTTTAGCAGCAATCAGGATTTTGTAACCGGATGTGAGAAGGATTTTGGGACAAAGCGCAATAGAGGCATTCTGGAATAGTCTGCTAGATGGTACCTACTATCAACTCATGCCATCACTAAGTACTAAGTGCACACCAAAAAATTGCTGCCCTCAGAAATAAAGATAATTCCACTAATTGCAATGGTAGTGAGTGGTAGAAAAAAAAATTACAAAAAATTATATTATATATAGACCGTATATACTCGAGTATAAGCCGAGATTTTCAGCCCATTTTTTGGGGTGAAAAGTGCCCCCCTCGGCTTATACTCGAGTCAGCGCACCTAGTTATATATTCTATTCAATGAACCAGCAGCACTGCAATCAGATATGTAAGTGGTCAGTAACACCAATTATATGTATTAAATAAAAAAAAGCTAAAAGGTATGCAGAGACAAGAACTTGTGCGTGTGAACATGACTGGACCAGCAAGATTCCACATAAGATTTGAATCAGGTAACTGGAATGATATGCTATTACTCTTTCCTAGGAATGCCCCTCTGCAGCAGCCACATTACAAACTACCCAGTATCAAGTCTAAATTGCTGTTCTGAAATAATAATATAAAACATATTCTAGAAACAGACAAAACAGAAAGACAGACAAAATACAGCTAACAGCTCCCACCCACCATGAACCAAACCAAAGTCACTCAAAGAACAGTAAACTATGAGCGTTTTGGAGGAAATGATAACTCTTGGTCAGTGATCCTTGATAGGTGCTGCCCCTTCACAGACTCAGTATGGAGACTGCTCATAGAAAATGGCCCATATCTAGCTAAACTGGAAAGGTAACACTAAACCCATCTTCCCTAGTGTTTTTGTGTAAACCAGGCTTTTTGACTCCATGCTATTTCATGGATTATCCAATAGACTCATAATATGCACATCTTGATTACTTTATCCATCCTCAAATAATGTACGGTAGATACTATCATGTATTGATGACCCCATTGTTCTGAGATCTGATCTAAGTTCTTTGTATTATCTCTGTGAAATTAAAAATAAAATCTGGTATAAATATCGAGATAAGCATAACGTCATGTAGTTCAATGACAAACCAGTTATCTATTGTTTATATTCATTTACCATGTTTACACCGTGGTATAAGGTAGGTACTCCCATTTATTGATGACCTCATTGTTATGGGATCCTATCTAAGTTCTTTGTATTATCTTTGTGAAATTAAATATAAAATGTGATATCAATATCCAGATAAGAAGCAAAACCGTCATGCCTAGAAGTACTTAGATGACAAAACAGTTATCTATGATTTATATTACTTTATCATGTTTATACCTTGGTAACAACTGATCTACTGTTGATATACCCAGAATGATATTTTATTTTATTGCCAAGGAGACAGTTTTGAAGTAATAAGTTAAGAGGGAAAGCTTGCAATCTTCTGTTATGATTCACTAAGCCAAAATGTTATTTCAAATTACAACAAGCTTTAGACGCGTACTTCTAAAGAGAGATAAAACAAACGCTGGACAGAGAGTTAAAGGAAAGAGATTAAGCCTACAATGCACTTACTCGGCAGTAATCCAGTGTAGCAACATATTCATAAGATCCCAGAGATAGCTCTGGCCTTTCATAGCAATCCACTCTTCTGCCAACATGGTCCAGATGTTGAAAGTAGAATGGAGGGACTAACAAAACATAAACAGGAAAACAAATTATACAGAGAAGTGATATTTCTTCAGTTCAGTAGACATGAACACATTTCTGTTGAAATCATACTTTAAAGCGGACCTTTACCCCCTTTGACTACAAATCCCATCAGCATACAGTTCTGCATGTTGATATTAAATCATTTTACATTCATTAGCTTTCAATTTTTTTTTTCCACTTCCTGGTCCACCTTGGCATAAATGATGTAATGTGCCCAAGCATTGCATCCTGGGAAGGTTAAAACAGCAGAACATTGCTGGGAAATCTCATCTGTAATCTAGGAGATCTCAGGGAAAGGCATTCTCCTCCCCTGAGATGATGTGCATGGTCACATGTCCTAGTCAATTGTGCCAGAGTTCCAGGAAGTAAAGGGAGACCTAGTAACCTGCCCTTAGTTAAAATGGCCACTGTGAGAAGACGCGGGAAGAAAAGAGAAATAAGGTATTCAGAGAATAAAAAAATCTGCAATTATTTAGAAGTATCTGTGTGTAGATTGTCATTACTAAACATTTCTAAAGGTGCCTTTCTTGTTATTTTTAAGTTATGGGTAAAGTTCCTCTTTAATGAAAATCTGAACCAAAGTTATAAGTCAAGGAAGCCATTTAAGATCTGATAGTGTAGTTCCTTAGAGTTACCAATATACAACTTGAACAACGTCTACCTTATTTAGTGAAAGACAGAAATGACCTGCTACAGAACAAGAAAAATAGATGAGATCACTTACAGGTACACTCCAGTTTAGTATGAACATTTGTCATTTAAATGGACAAAGGGCATGCTGACTACCTGCACAATGGTTCTAATTGTAAGCATGTATTCCGTGCACAAGGCCACACAAGTGCCCTATGTCAGTTCCTAATGATGTAGATCACACCCCCAGAACCACATCTTCCAAGAGCCCTGTCATTACACACAGGATGCAAACACAGTGTAAACTTTAAAGCCCAAATCCAGCCAAATACTCGTTATTTTCTAGTTCTGGATAGGGTTGTTAAGGGTTAGCAATAGGGAGATTTCTGCTCATGTCCTGAACTGGTGACTAGGTGTCATAACAACAGGAAGTGAGACAGACATCTCTCCAGTGGGGGCAACGAGAGCAAGAAAATCACTTACTTTTAGTAACGGAAAGCATTAGACCTCTTGTCAATTTTATTTTCCTATCTATGTCTTCCTGTCCCAGTGTCATCACCCCCCCCCCCCCCTTTTTTTCCTAACTGTTTAGCGGGCAACAAAGAGGGTAAAAAAAGAGAGGTTAGAAAAAAAAAAGTGTTTGCACACAGTTCTGCATGCAGTAAAAACCTTCTTTATTTAATCAATGTATAAAACCATACCTAGGAGGTCCCGTCAGCGTATTCCGACCAAAAGAGGCCTTAATCATAGCGGAACCGAAAGAGGATACTATGATGGGGTCACAAATAGCATTAAAAACCTAACTCTCCCCCATGTTGCCAAATTTAAAAAAAAAAACAGTTTGGCCAGGAGTTGGGCCTTGATATATATAAGCTAATCATGCATGTCTGTGATCACGTAAAAATACATTTTTTACAGGCCTCACCCACTTTTGCTGTTAATGAAAGCAATGTGTGCAGAGATGTGTAATTCTGATGAAGGAAGGCTAAGCTACATTTATACATAGCAGCAGCATGAAAGTCCTTCATCAAAGTCTCCATCAGAAATTCTTTTGACTATTGTAGTAACCAGCAAGAAAAGTAGGGCCATTGTTGATAGGCTTTTGTTGCTTAAGAACTGTTTTCTCTCCCCATACAAGTCTATGGGAAGGCAGCTTAAAGCAGGTTAAATGGAGGTAAACTGTTGGTCAAATGCACCATCAATGAATTCTGAATGACCTCAGAAGCATCTCAAATTGCATTTGTAGCTCAATGCCATCACCACAGGCCTTAAAGTAACTATCTATAATCCAATTTTTTTACATGGACATGGCTATAAATGATAGGCAATGTAATGAAAGGTGAGGTCATTACAATAACTAGTTTCATACATATTGATACATTTATTCTGGTTGCAAAACCTGCTACATTACTGAATGTTTGATGTTAACAGACCGTTTTATGATACTGAGAAAGATAAGCCCAGATACTGAAATATTGTTATTGGAATCATTTTTAAATCCAAATCCTGCTTCTGCATCATGAAGAAATATAGTGGAGAACAATGGAAGAAGCACTATATTAACATTAATATTTTTAATTCTGCAGTAAAACTGCTGACTACATCCTACTTCATTGTGACTATGACTAGGTATATAAACCACATCAGCATGGCACTTGTACATAAGATATATGTTAAACATGGTAACTGACAGATAAAACAAACCCAGGGTTGCAGTGCATTTGCAGCCATTATAAATTATATTTGTTTAGAACTTCTTTCTGCCAAAAATACTGTTGTTCCCTTGTACAAATAATCAGAGTTGGGATATTTACTTATCAGTACATATTTACTGCCAAGGGAGAAAGGAAACTCTCGACATTAGCGTCTCGAGGCTCAGGTTTCAAAGTTTAAAAGATTACTCTTTTAGGGAAAGGACTGTGCTGCAGCGATTCAAACGAGGATATCCAAGTTAATTCTAATGTCTAGCAGGACTTGTTCCGACAAAAAGAAAACTTGGGACTCATCCAAAATCACAGAAACACTTGCTTATGAGTCACATAGAGTAACTCTTGGACAAATATGGCATGGTATCTTCAGTGAAAATGAGCTTGTCACTGGGAGATTAATAGACGTTGAAGCCATGAAATCCATAGGCACATGGAGCTTATTAAAACAACTTTTATTTTATATTTCCAGCTCCCCTCTACTTGTGACAGTACTGTATATGCGTTAACGAGAAGAATGCGGTGAGGAATATTTTGCTGGATTGTGAGCAAATCCCTCATCAATGCGCTGATTTGTTTTATAAATATATATTTTTTGAAAAGTGTCTAAGGCCTAACAGTTCCTAATAACTTCCTCATGTAAATCTGTGTAAGTCAAAAGACAATCATGATTAATGTAGGTGGTAACATCTCATTTAAATGTAAATCACATTCTTTTTAGGAGGTCTCACTAGTTTAATACTGCAAGTTTATGTTTTATGAACAATAATACCCCTTAAAGAACGAGAGCTCTGTTGAAAAGATCTGGTTGGTTCTGTGACAAGCAGTATGTACCTAGCTTACATGAAACTGCACCTATGTGGTTCCTTGAACAGATTTTAGATTAACAGTTGCTTTTCTATAGGAAGACCAAGGTGTTACTACTGTATAAAGTAGGGGTGCACCGAAATTTCAGCCACCGAAACTGGTCCTATGGGCAAAATGCTGATAGTACCAAAATGGCAGAAAATGCGGTGCAGGAATGAAAGAATTGCCCAGGAAATGCAGTTCTGGACGCCGGACAGGTGTTTTTTTGTTTTTGTTTGTTTTTTAACATTTGGCCATGCTTCAGGCAAGCCGCGACCCTGGCCGCAGGAGCCGCTGCTCTCTGCTATCATTAAACAGTGGAGAGCCAAAGCTTTACACACACAGAGCCGATCTGCAGTGTTTTCATCCAATAGGTTTTCATTGTGTTCACATAAGAAAAGAAAATAGAAGAAACCAAGTGACGGGATATCACATGACTAATACAGGCATCGACTATAACAGTTGCATTTATAGTACATAACCATAGAGGGATTGATGGCTTCAAAACAACATGTGAGCTTAGTGGATAGCACTTCTGCTTTTCAGCACTGAGGGTCCCTGGTTCAAATACTGGTCAGATCTACATGGAGTTTGCATGTTCTTCCTGTGTTTGTATGGGTTTTCTCTGGTTTCCTCTCACGCTCCAAAGACATGCTGGTAGGTTAACTGGCTCCTGACTAAATCGGCCCTGTATGTGTGTGTAATTGTATGTGAGATAAGGAACTCAGATTGTAAGCATCTCAAGGACAGGAACTGATGTGAATGTGCAGTATGTAAAAGTGCTATGTAAATACAAGTAATAAATAAATAAACTTTCCTAGTGTTCTATGATGTTGTAAGGAAGGAAGCCTAGACAATTAGGATATTTCACATAAGTTGGTGTCCACATTTTCAAAGTCAACTTGGCAATGTGTAGAGTTTGAGTTAATCTTCTTACATGTCCTTTTACGCACCATGAACGATTGTTTTAGCTTCCCCTTAAATGGACCCACAACTTTTTAATCCAATACAAGCAACGGTAAGCACTGGAATAAAAGCACTGAAATCTCTTCTATTGCAGGAAATTGAACCAACTTTTCATGGCCGCAAACATTTTCTATCCTAACTCTTGCCCTTGCCTGTAATTGCTCACAAAGGAGCACTCACACTGTCAGACTATCACAAGCAATGATTGAATCAGTTCTATAATTTGCAAATATTGTTGACGTACCCTAATTCAGGAACCGGAACTACTGACAGCTATTGTATATCCCTAAGCCTCATTTTATTTTCTAATTAATAAAAAGCCATATCCTCTGGGAAATAAAATGAAGAGCTGGAGCCTTGTACTGATTGTTTTGTAAAAATGAAGCCTTGTGCTGGTTGTTTTGTAAAAACAAATAGAATAGCCCTGAGCTTATACTATTATTGGAAAGCATGTTTTACTCCCTCTGCCATTGTGAAAGAGATTATGTGAAGCAAAATATATGTGCCAAAGGCAGTAATTAAGAGCAGGACATTTATACAAGCTAGTTATACTAAAATTACACATGCAATACTTTAACACTTTACAAAGGCATTGGGTAGTTTGTTTAAATTTAACTTCATATTAGATGCAGTTCTGCAACAAATTTATGAAAAAGGACAGTTTGTGTCACTTTTTCCCTACAAGGTCTCCTTCACATGGTCCTCCAGGGCTGTACACTGCTCAGATCAGTGTATATCTTGGGTGGGTACGACAGGGTGACAGGCTCTGCAGCTGTAATCACACAGAGCGTATACCTGCGATTATGGACAGATGAGTGGCTCCGGACACAAAATGTCTGCGTACAGGTAATTATTTGAAAACGAGAAAACGGTTCCGATAGTGCCCGCCTGTCATTGATTTGTCCAGACTTTTTGTCTGCAGGTGATTGCAAATACCTGGCTGTACCCACTGTAGAAATACACTGATCTGTGGGGTGTATGGCCCTGGACGGTCCTGTGAATGAGGGACAGTCCTGTGAATGAGGCCTATGAGCCAACATTTCTGGATATAGTAACATAAATGCTTACATTACGGATGATACGCTTAATGCTGTTAACGGAAAAGAAATTATTTTAAAAAGTATATCAATTATTTATATATTGCTTACCTCATACTGAAAGGTATTTTACTAGTATCACTTAGAAACATCCACCCACTGCACATGGGCGACTTCCAATTCCAAAAAGCACTGATTTATTTTACTAGAAATTTAGTTTAGGAATGTGTGCTACATTTATTTTCTTTGCTTTATTTTCTTGATATCATTTTAAAAGCACTTTCTAAAGTCCAAGCACATCAAGTAACACCTTTTATAGGCTTTTGAGCTTTTCTTGCAAATGGCTTCAGAGTGCTATAAAGTACCAGAAGGACAGGCTCTGAATTCTACATCTCCATCTCCTCTAAAACAAAATAAAATCTGCACTCCCAGGTCATTCCCACTCATGTTGCAATGGTAATGTTATGTGTGCAACTAAAACCAAACACTGGACAGTGCTTAGAGAAAATACTGATACTTTCTAAACCTATACAATATTATAATACTATTTTCTATTTGAGCTAAACTGACTTTAAAACAGACCTTTACCCACTTTCACTAAAAAATCACATCAGATTGTAGTTCTGCATGCTGATATGAACTCATCTTGCATCCATTAGTTAAACACACATATTAGCTTTTACTTACAATGACTGTTTTTCCACTTCCTGGTTGAGTGAAGCACCATGGATATGGCCCTGGCCTCACAGATGCATCCGGAAGGCTACATCACTAAGTGGTTCTGGCAGCATCTGCCTGTGCCAGTCTCCTCCTTTACTCCCTGTCTATATTTACATTGACTGGGTAGGCTGACCCTTCAATTTAATGGAGCACTCATAAGATCTGCTGTCCTGAGAACAACTGAAATTAAACTGCATGTTCAACCAATGTCTAATGTCTATGGCTAGCCTAAAGTGGACCTTAACCCCCTTTCATTAAAAATGGCATCAGCATGCAGCTCTGCATGTTGATTTAAAATCATCTTACATTCATCGGTTAAACAAACACGTTTTTCATTTACTTACAAATAGAGTTTATCTACTTCTTGGTCCTCTTCTGGCACAAATGATGTAATGTGCTAATGTGTTGCAGCCTGGTAAGGTTACATCAGCAGAGCATTACTGGGAAATCTCATCTGTAATCTCATGAGATCTCAGGGAAAGGTATTTTCCTTCCCTGAGATGATGTGCATGGTCACATGTGCTAATCACATGTGCCAGAAATCCAGGAAGTAAAGGGAGAGCTAGTAAGCTGCCCTTAGTAAAAATGGCCACTATCAGAAGATTGGGAAAGAAAAGAGAAATAGGATATGCAAAGAATAAAAAAACCTGCAATTATCTAGAAGTATGTGTTGGTAGATTGTCATTACGAGACATTTCTAAAGGTGTATTTGTTGTCATTTTAAAGATATGGATAAAGTTCCTCTTTAAGGCTTTATGTTATGTTTAAAAGTACTATATTGAATTATTCTTTGCACAAAAAAAAGGCCAGTCTTCTAATGTCCAGGAGTGTCTTGTTGTACAAGACACTCCTGGACATTAGAAGACTGGCCTTTTTTTGACTCACTGAAAAAACAATGCAAAGTCCAATGACAAGGGGCAGTAACCCACATCAGCCAATGAGATCTCAGGTTGCTGTGGTCAGATTATTAAAACGTTTGATTGGCTGTTATAGCTGACTTCAGAATTGCACACACATCTGCCTTCCTGTTCAGAAATCTTGTGAAAAACTATCCTTCTGGATCTTCATTTTGCATACTGTGGCAATGGCAGCTAACATAGAACAAAGTTTGAGTACTTTTAAACACACAGCCGTGAACAATATTAACAGATGTTTTAATATAATAGTTGAGATTGAATTTTGTACCTATTGGAAACCAACACCTGATATGTATAACAATAGCCAAAATGTTTTATTGTAAGTAGAATGGGGAAAGGTTAGAGTATCTGCCAAGTTTCTACATCTGTATCCCTACTGAGATTTCACCTTACTTCATGTCAGAACAGGAAATGATGAGAAATTTCCCCCACAAAGAATGTCTACTGATATACAGATTTATAGATTTTTCCATTATACTATATAGAACATTGCTAAAACTTGAAGGACATTATTATACTTAAAGCCAGTTCCAGGCAACCTCCCTTCTGTGTCTCCACCTTCAGCCTGTGTGGGAAAGGCTGACAAAGACTTACTGTCAAACCCTCACACTGGCCTACATTTCTGGAGGGTGAACCAGAACTAGAAGGTGAGTTAAGTGGCAGCTACAGTATATGAAATTAACTAAGGAATTACTGGGGCAAAGGGCATAGAAGATTAATGCAATGGTGAATAAATCAGCTTGATCCAGCAGGTATGCTCCACTTACAGGATTATTCACAAAAGGGTGAAGAGTTTGGAGAAGGCAGGAGAAGTGAACAATCTAGGACAAAATAGCCGATTTGGAAAAATTCTTCAATTCAGCTCACTTTCCAGTTCAGCTATGTTGTCCTAGATTGTTCACTTCTCCTGCCTTCTCCAAACTCTTCACCCTTTTGTGAATAACCCCGTTAGTAAAAATGAAAAATGTATTTTTTTGCTGGAGTGTACTTTTCATTTCTATTGTGCTTATAAACCCTAAAACATCTACTGGAACATGCAAAAGTAAGATTACCTTCATTGACACAGTTGCAGAATCCACACTGGTATCTTCTTCCCCCTTCAATGAATAGCATGAATGGGCACATATAAGCTTTACATCGGTTGCAGCGGATCGGTCCATTTTCACCGTGGTTCACAAGATAAAGAGGAGTCTAGAAAATGAAGAAATACTGCCTTGTCAAAGCAGTCACGCATAGCACTACCATAATGATGATTGTAGATGACTTACTCAACTACACATACAGACATTCATATTAGGGCTGCAACAACTAATCGACATAATCGATTATAATCGATTATTGAAAAAGTTGACAACTTTTTCAATAATCGATTAATCGGCTTCCGATCCAGCCTCATAATCTGAGCAGAACTGTGACAATGAAACTGTCACTTTTCCCCCACCTCACGCTCGCCGCTGCAAGACCCGCCTGCCAGTATCCACACCGCACCTCCTCCCCGCCTCACACTCACCGCCCGCCCACATCCACGATTGGCACAGGGACGCGGGGAGATGTAGTAAGGAGGAGCAGGTGTGGGGGGATGACAGCCGCTGATAGACAGGTCCGATCTCAGAAGCAAGTTGCTGGAAGACTGCTCAGGTAAGCCTGCACTTCCCACACATGGTGCTCTATAATGTATTGCTGGGATTTGTATTCCTCTATAGCTTATGGTACATTGTGCTGTATATTATACATAGGAATACACATCCAGCAATACATTATACACTGTATGTATAATGTATTGCTGGGATTTGTTGTATTCCTATATAGCTGGTGATATTCTGCACTGCACTGTATAGAGGACTACAAATCCCAGCAATAGTACATTATACAGCGCAATGCAGAATACCACCAGCTATAATGTACTATTGCTGGGATTTGTTGTAGTCCTCTATAGCTGGTGATATTCTGCATTGCGCTGTATAATGTACTATTGCTGGGATTTGTAGTCCTCTATAGCCGATGCAATTCTGCATTCATTGCTGTATAATTTTACACTTTCCTTTTCACTATATTGCACACCACACTATTTTTTTCCACCGCTCCAAGCTTGCTCCTGTGATGGACTACAATCTCAATACAAACTAGTAGTCCCATCACTGGAGCCATTTTTAATTTTTTTTTTATTGTTTATCCGATTAACCGATTAATCGAACTTAATAATCGGCTAACTAATCGATTTTGAAAATAATCGTTAGCTGCAGCTCTAATTCATATATACAAGTGCTTAAGTTGTGCCTTTGCATGGTTCATCAGAATTCAAGTTAATTCACATACATTTTCTTCTGGATTTTGTTTTTTTGTGCTTGAGTTTACCAAAGATTTAGATGTGTTAAAGGAGAATTATGAGGCGAGTGATTTTCACTCAGCCTCATAATCTGAGCAGAACTGTGACAATGAAACTGTCACAGGTCGGCTCAGTAGATCGGGAAGTGAGCGAACACATACCAGCGCTCGCTCACTTCTCAATCTATCCCTGCCGAGAGCCGTGACTGTCACTCACGGCTCCCTTCACGGATTCCCCCTCCTCCCCCCTGTCCGACCCTCCAGCGCTAACCGGCGGAACGGATGGGGAGGGGGCGGGTACAGCTGGCTCTAGATAGGCAGAGCCAGCTGTCACTCACGCAGCTGGGTGGATCCAGACAGAATTGTCGGGATCCGTTTCGGCTGCGGCGTCTCAGTATACCGCGAGCTGTAGCTCGCAGTATACTGAGCTTTGGGTGACGGGAGGACGCTAGTTTGTGTCCTCCCGTTACACTTAGGAGAACTATGGGGAAAAGCCGTGACCCCATAGTTCTCCTTTAACTGTAAATGTATGCTGCTTTAAAAAAAGTGCATGTAGTATAGGGTGCAAAGTGCTCTGCGTGTGCGTCAAATACTACACAGTAATGCAAACTTCACTAGTAATTGCAATGATACTTTGAAGTAAATAATACAGTTAGTATTCCGTTTCACAAATTTGGGCTAAAGGTAACTGTAGATGAAAAATGTCAGTGAGATCATTAATGCAGGGTCCGAGCGTCAAATAATTATTCTTGCAAGGTGGGAAATGACAATTCTGATAATTTGTTCCCCCTCTTGAAATTGATCTTCCAAATGCCGCCTGATCCATCCTAAATCTACCAAACTAATGGTCATTGTTTGCATTTCAGTAAGCAAGAAACGTATGATTACTTAGCAGCGTGACATCAGCCTCTTTTTTTCAAATCATTTAATTTTTAACAGACTCATTTCAAGGTGCTGTATGTGAGGCATGTGTCAAGGTAATGTCATGCTGTTCTGTGCAGTTTAACCCTTACATGTTCAGTCTGTGTAAAAAAAAAAAAAAAAATACAAACCGAAGGTAAACGTTTTGCAGTTACTATTTCTAAAGAAAAGTTCAACTTAACACCTGCACAACATTACTTTTCATTTTTCCAACCATGGTGTAAAGTACCTCCACATTATTTTATAGCTCTAAATGCTACCATACCCAAACATCTCCCTAGGTGTCAGTATACAACCGAGAAAGTCAGCAGCATACACCGTAGCCAAATTCCAAGACATGTCAAATTGCTTAGTGCTCTTTCCTCATGAATCTAGTAGGAAAGGCTGTACATAATGAATAAACCTGTAAATAAAGCATTAGGTCAGCTAGGAAAATTGATAGTATAATAGCTGCTACTATAGTAAAAAAAAAGTGTTACTCTTTATCTTGTGTATTGAGGCTAATACAATTTTGGCTCTAATTGCCTGAGATTATTGTATAGTGACTACACCGTTTTATCACAGAAAGATAGATGCCCAGCTAGTGTTACATCACGGATGCTAAAAACTGAGCCATGTTTTCCAATGAAACCCCAAAATAGACGCTGCTTTAGATCTGTTCCTGCACTTTCAATGTATGCGAAATTCAGTATTGTGGTCGGCAGCAACAATTTAGTAATATCATGGGTACATATTAGAACATGCATCACTTCAATGCATGATATACAGTATATATTCACCGCTTCAGTGAATAACTCAGAGGGCTTATCATTTTTCCACAATTGTATAACCCAGCAGCATAAAGGATAAGCCAACCCTCTCACTTATGCACATCTTTGTCTTTGTGTAGTGCAAGGCTTTTATCACCAGCTATAGCTCATCAGTTCATGGCTGTAGCAAGATAACACAAGGGGTGACCTCTTTGTAAAGAGACTAGATCCCACATTACTAGGTCTAATTAAAACACAACATGCCTCACTTCTCTCTGGACCTGCTGCTGCAGATAGTTGCTAAGCAATCCATGTATTTATTTGTCCACATATCTGCTTTAACGGTGATAGACAAATGACTTTAGTACCTGCTCTGCATTTTGATATATTTTCAGTCTTGTCATCAAACACATATGGAAAGGTCAGTTGGCTTCCCAAAATACTCTTGCAAGCTTTAAAAATCATTACTGTAGATATTCTTACTTGATATTCTTTTCATACCTTAATGTAAAAATCACATATATTCCCTGATGGAGTCCTCTGATGAATTTTATACTGTAAATCATTGTTCCTGGCAAACCTACACACAATTTCAGACTATAAGGGAGGACATGCCACTAGTGCGGACCACTGGGACTTGGGAGCCTATTCATGCTAGAGGTGGGTCTTGGTGGCACCCCATCCAGCTGCTGCATGTACCTGGACATTCCTCATTTCAAGAGCAGGAGACATTCTTCGTGATCTTCAGTGCAGCTGCTTTGTTATATTGAGGGGTCAGGAAGCCAGCACTTCTATTAACCTGTACGTGAACGGCCACTGAATAGTTCTAATGTTTCCTCTTGACACAACTTGGACTAGAAATGAAAGTGGTACTCGCTGTCTGACTTCAGTTGAACAGTTCAGGGTATTGTAAAGGTTACTCTTCCTCTGTATTGATGAGGTTTTCATCAATCTGTTACATTTTGAATTGTACTCTTCATCTGTATTGATTAGGTTTTTAGCAATCTGTTACATTTTGAATTGTACTCTTCATCTGTATTGATTAGGTTTTCATCAATCTGTTACATTTTGAATTGCTCATTCGCACATCTGTGCCCTCATGTAAACAAAACAAAAAAACTGAACAGTCGATGGCCAACCTCATACAAATCTGTGCTCACAGAAAGTCAGAAAATGGGTGCCAACTAGCAATGCACAGATATCCAAGTACCGTACTTGGTACAAGTACTGATATGTTTCCAGCTCCAATGAAAGACTAGACTAGAGAAAAACTAAAAAGTTAGGAGGCAGCTGTCATTTTTAAGGAGCATTGGCTACGGAGCTCCTGGGATTTGTGCATCTGTGTTTTAATGTATGATTTGTTTATATATATATATATATATATACATACATACACACACACACACATATATTAGGGATGCACCGATACCATTTGTTCCAGACCAAGTACAAGTACTGATACTTGTCCGAATACTGACAGACACAAGTACCGATACATTTTAGTTTATGGTCATGTGACAGTTTTTCTAAAACAATACAGACTAATGATTTCAGGACAATGGTGGAGAACCAGGGCCCAGTCCAGGCTGCAACCACTTTAAGCTTCCCCAGTTGTCAGGATAGCAGGATAATGCCTGTGGCCACTGTTTGCAGTACACTGTAGAACACAGTTCGAATAGTGAAGCCACAGAATAGTGAAGCCACTGAAACACCTTACTGAGTGAGCGGAGCATGTTTTCCTGAATCCCTCCCCTACATCAGTGCCTGAAGTCAAGTCAGACAGCTTGGCAGGAGCCTGTGCTTGAACAAAAAAGGTGGTGAAAAGGTAAATAATTAAGATGGAGATAATATTTCAAGACAAAATATGACTCCAGTTGTATTATATGGTATTTTCTAGATGGCTTCAGTTCAACCCTATTTTTTCCCCAATGTTTCACACAGTTATATTAACTTATGTGCAGTGACTGGTTCTCAAGGGCTACTGTATCATAAAGTTGTGATTTCAGTTGCAGAAAGCTGCTCTTCAAGCACCAGGTTTTTCTATTCTCCAACAATCTAAGGATCATAATATTTTACATGTGTTTGCTGAGGATGAAATTGGGAAAAGTATGAGGTAAACACTTGATTTTCTTACAGCCACATTTAACAGTAATCAGCATTGTGGTCTAATAGCTGGTCATATCAGGTTGGACAGTC